AGCGCGCTCCTTGCGTCTTCTCATCTCCGATTTTGGCTTGTGCAAGAAATTAGAAGATAATCAAAGCTCTTTCCGAGCCACCACGGCACATGCCGCGGGAACATCTGGCTGGCGTGCCCCTGAACTCCTAGTGGATGATGACAAGAGCTCGGCAATCCTAAGCACCGAGTCCCAGCACACCGAGTCCTCGGAGCCGGCCGTTGTCGACCCCCAAACCAACCGACGAGCCACCCGTGCTATCGACATCTTTTCTCTGGGTTGTGTGTTCTATTATGTTCTGACCAGGGGCAGCCACCCATTTGATAAAAATGGCAAGTTCATGCGCGAGGCCAACATTGTTAAAGGCAACTACAATCTCGATGAACTGGAGCGCTTGGGTGACTATGCATTCGAAGCGCGCGATCTCATCCAGTCGATGCTGTCACTTGATCCACGGAAACGGTAAGACTGTCCTCACACTGTACAATATCAGCATGCTAATACTCCCCAGACCCGACGCCAGCTCCGTCTTGACGCATCCATTCTTCTGGAATCCATCTGATCGTCTCACCTTCCTCTGCGATGTATCAGACCATTTTGAGTTCGAACCGCGTGATCCTCCGTCCGAAGCTCTCCTGTGTCTAGAATCCGTCGCTTCACGCGTCATGGGCCCTGAGATGGACTTCTTACGCCAGCTGCCCACTTCCTTCAAAGATAACCTGGGCAAGCAGCGCAAGTACACAGGGTCAAAGATGCTCGACCTCCTCCGGGCACTCCGTAACAAGTGCCATCACTATAATGACATGCCCGAGCATCTCAAGGCCCATATTGGTGGCCTGCCCGAGGGATACTTGAGTTTCTGGACCGTCAGGTTCCCGAGCTTACTCATGAGCTGTCACTCTGTGATCGTCGACCTCAAGTTGACACGGATCGACCGCTTCAAGCGATACTTTACCGTACCGGAGTAAATGATTGGTTTGATCATTGCACATACTGGCATCTGTGACATATTTAGATGATCTTATGAATTCTCTTGTTGTGTTATTATATAGATTGATTGACACTGTTTTTGCATCATATAATATACACTTTGGTTATACTAGAACATTTGAAATATTCTTAGTTTTATTACAACAAGCAAAAATCATGAAATGTTCCATCAATTCATACCAACTATCAAGTACTAAGCATGCTCAGATTCAATTAGATATACTACTCATCGTCCAGCATACAACGACCTGCATCCAAGAAAGACACAAATTATACAACAACAGAATGCAAACAAACACAAAGAACAGCAAGAAAGGAAGCAATAAAGACTCACTTCCGCGGCAAAGCGGTCCTTAACTTCCCTACGCTCCCAGTGGACAAGATATCCCCGGCATCCGCACCGCTATCACTCTCGCTATCGCTCTCGCTCTCGCTCTCATCCTCATCCTCGGACTCAGTATCCGACGGGCCCGAGAAGATATCCTTATGCGGCTGGCTCTTCCGTTTCGCCGCCTCCTCCTCTTTCTTCAAGCGCGCCTGCGCCTGCTCTGCGCGTTGTTGGAAGAGGAGGGTTTTGAGGGTATTGCGGGTTGGTCGGGAGGCAGTGGGGGTCGATTGGGTGGAGCTTGGTTGTGGCTGGCTGCTGGAGGGTGGGTTCGGCTGGGATGAAGGAGGATTGAGACTTGTGCGACGGAGAATGTTGGCTTTTGTTGTTGGGGTTGGTTTGGGGAGAATCTGGTTTTCCTTGTCGGATTCTTTGTCGGATTCTTCGTCTGATTCGCTTTCGTCCGTGTCGGAGTCAGTTTCTTCGGCGGCTGGGTCGGGTTTGGAGGGTGTTTCTGTTGGTGCTGGGTTGGGTGCGGCCGGGGTTGTGGTTTCTTGCTCGCGCTCTTCTTCTGTTTCTGGGACTATATCGTCTTCTTGTGGTTCTGGTTCTTGGACTATTTCCCCTTTGTTGTCTTCATTTTGGCTTTCTTCCGCTGTGGACTTGTCTTTCTCTTCCTCTTTCTCTGCCGTTTCCACTGCCTTTTCCACTACCACTTCCTCTGCCATTTCCTCTGCGTCTTCCTCTTCTTCTTCCTCCTCTTCGTCGGAGCCGGATTGTTCTTCTGAGTCCGAGCCCGGCTCAGGCACAGGCGCGGGTACAGATACCTCAACCGCGGGAGACGATTTAGTCAAGGAGTCAGGCTGGTTTGGTGCTGCATCGTCCCCCTCTTCCTCAGAGCTGGAATCCTCCTCCGACACGGACTCTGCAGGTGAAGATGGTGGCTTCTCTGAGGATGGTTTCTTGGGCTCCGGCTGTTTTGGGGTGCTTTCCTCTTTTTCGGACTCGGACTGTTCTGACTCGGATTCAGAGAGTGGAGATGGTGGTCTCTCCTGGGATGGCTTCTTGGGCTCTGGCCGTATTTCTGGAGTGCTATCAGCCTTAGGCGTGGGGATTTCGACGCTCCAATGTCTTTGGCCTTGGGATTGTTCGCGTTCTGGAGACTTGCGACTGATCTGTGAAGAGGGAAGGCTCTTCGGAATAAGCTTCTTGGAGTTCGGTCTTGGTGTTACGATTTCAACGTCCCAGTGCGCTTCGGATTTTCGATTCTGCGAACTGGTAGGATCTCGGGATAGCTTTCTTGTACCTGGAGTACCATTCGGTGTCTGGGACTTGGGGCGTTGCGAGGGTGGCTTGTTAAACTCCTTGAGCTCGATAACCTCCCGGTGCAGCGCCTTGAGATCGTTATGCGCGTTACTGTACCTCTCTCGCTGTCTTTTCCGGTTGGAGTTCTCGTTGTTCTTCATAATCTGCCATTTCTTTGAGGCCCACTTCAGTTTGCGAGTGTATTCAGACTTCGGATCCAGGTCGTTTGCTTGGAGTTCCTTTTCGTACTCGTTTATCTCCGTGTTTATTGCCGTGCTAAACTCCTCTTCCGACTGGCCCTCTTCTTCATCTGACCGTTCTTCTGGCTCTGGTGGAGCTGGCTTAGAGCTAGAGCTGGTCCCATTCTTCTGGTGCTTATTGGTGGCCTGGAGAGTTGACTTTGTAGCATGGACGGAGGTAGGAATGGCATAGTCTTCTCCTTCGGCGAAGGATACGGATCGGCGTTCGGGGGACCGTTCGGCGGGTGAGTCTTTACGGAGAGCCGATTGGAGTAGTCTGACTTTGTCTGCCGGCGTTTGTAACTTGGCCGGAGTCGAGGGGTGCTGGTCAACCGAGCTGCGACGGATCACAGATGCGCTGCTTGCGTCTTTCGGAACGGACTCGGATTGTGTAGAATCTTTAGAGAGATCAGCCATCAGGAATTGTTTCTTGCGAGGAGGACTCTTCGTAATACCCAGACCAAGGCCATGCGACAAGGCCGGTCTCTCTGTAAAGCTCAAACGTCGACCAAGCCCAGAGAAGGACGGCGCTCTATCAGCGTTACGCTTGCGCGTGCCCAACGGACTGCTAACCGGGGTCCCATTGACGTTGTCGCCGTCGGCCTCAGTCGCCTGGCTCGACTGTTGCAAACGGGGTTGTTTTTTCGGCTCGAGCTCCTCGGGGCTCATCTTTCTCTTGAGCACTCGTGTTTCGGGCAGGCTATCCTCCATGCGGACGTCGTTGTCCGGGGCCGGCTCTTCACTCTCACCTTCATCCTCGTCTTCCTCGCTCCCGCTCTCGCTCTCATCCCCACTTTCCTCCTCTTCGATCTCATCAGTTTCACTTTCTCCATCGTCCTCACCACCCACCGCAACAGCCTGCGCATCGATCAATTTCGCCTTCTTCCTGTCAATTTCACTCTCCTCTTCCTCTTCCTCGCTCTCAGTCTCAGTCTCAGTTTCAGTCTCAGTCTCACTCTCCCTCGCCTCCTCAATCGTCTCAAACTTCCCCGTAAATTTCTCCTCCCGACCCACCCCCCAATCCTGATCCACAGAAGGAAACCGAACAGGCGCATATGGCGCAGGCCTCTGCACCACCCTGACCGTGCCGACCTGATCATCCTCATTGCGCCTCGCACGCGCCTGATTGACCCACACATCGGCCACCGTCATATCGACATCCAAATCGACCGTGTCGCGACTATCGTCCAGCAACTTCTTGATATCGAGGGGCTCGGCATTGGGGCGGAGCTTGGTCCATTTCGAGCGGATCAGGCCGGCGAGCTGGCCGAGGGTGATTGCTTCTGGGTTGGGGATCGCGAGGAGGAAGGACGCGGGCTTGGTTTCGTGTTCGGTTGGTTTCCTCTTTGGGGTCGGGAATGGGCGCGAGAGTTGTTCGCGCGGGTAGACTTTTACGATTAGGCGGATGAAGACCATTTTGACTCCCCCCCCTCTTTTTCTCTCTCTTGTTTGTTCGTTAGTTCCGGGCGTTGGTGCGGTTGGGATGGAGATTGGGCTTGGAATCGGTTGTTGTCGTTGAGATTGGACGTTCCAAATCGATGAGGTGAAAAAGTTGGGAACACAGATCGGACGCCCGAGGTGGACCGGCGATTGAGTTCTCTGGTCTTGGGTACAGAATCCTCAGTGTTGGTAATCGATGGCCCTTGGGATTGTGTTACTGGAGGCTTTTCACTTCGCAGGGCGGGTCCTTCCTCCCCGGGAGAGAATGGTGAAGAGTGTTTGCAGAAGGAAAATCGGATGCACGGGAGAGAGTTTGAGCTCCCGATATTTTAGTGTTTGGTTGGCGGACACCGCCCTGCCCGGGGAACGGTTCGGCCCTTGGGGCCGGGGCTAGTGGCGGCTGGGGGGTGGCCGTTCGATGAACGTTTGGACTAGGTTCTTGGTGGTTCTTACTGGTTATTCTAGAACATATGTGATGGGCCTCTTTGTGGCTGTTATTGTATCAAAGCCCATCACTGGATTCCTGGATACGGTGGGTGTAACCTGTGGTCTTTTATCTATACATTCTGGGCCATTATCGGACCCCGCCGCCCAGCCTCAAAAGTATGGGAACTTGGTTGTGATAGGTCTATTCAAGGCTGTCGGAGCCAACAATCCTTTGTAACGAATATTTGAGAAGATTACCCCATAAAGTTAAATAAAACTACTCGATCGCCAGACAATTATGGCACATTGGCACCATCTGACTCCTTCTCGCTGCCAGCAGTGGCCCAGCCCTCTGGCGGCCTCTCGACGGAGAAGTTCCATCCAAACTGGTCTTCGATCTTGCCCGCCTGGATCCCCTTCAGCGTCTGCAGGAGCTTCGCGCACACCTCTCCACCGCTCTCTCCGTCATCCCCAGCGTCATATGTAAGGCGATCGCCCCGCGACCGCATGGTAATGCTCCGGATCGGCACTAGTGCAGCCGCCGTGCCGCAAGCAATGACCTCCTTGAACTCCTTCAGCTCCTCATAGGGAACGCGGCGTCTCTCCGACTTAAATCCGAACACGCGCTCTCCGATCTCCAACACGGATGCTGCCGTCACCGAGTCGATGACGTTCTTACTATCCGGCTGCACCAGCGTCACAGCGCCCGAGGCATCCTTGCGCACGCCGATAAACGCCGACGTCGAGAATTCATCAATCTCCGACCTTGTGCGGCTGTCCAGATGCAGTGTGATCCCGAATCCCTCGCTGTGTGCCCGTCCACTGTGCCGCAGGACCGGCGCATAGTTTCCACCCACCTTGGCTGATCCCGTGCCCTCCGGAGCGGAGCGATCAAAGTCCTCCAGGATCAGGGCATCCACGGCATGCACTCCGTGATACACACCGGTCGGCATGACAAAGACCACAAATGTATACTCGTCGGGCGGGGAGAGACCCAGCTGTGCCGAAGAGCCGAAGACCAATGGCCGGACATACATCGCCGCGCCGGTTTCATGGGGCGGCACGAACTCTGCATTCGCCCCGACGGCGAGCTTCACGCTCTCCACGAAGAGGTCCTCCGGGATAGGCGGGACGGAGATGAACTCGGCGGAGTGACGCATGCGCACGGCGTTGCGATCAGGGCGGAACACGCTGATGGAGCCGTCTGGGCGGCGGAAGGCCTTGAGACCTTCGTAGGCTTGTTGGCCGTAGTTGAGGCCTGGGGCCATGCCGTGGATGGGCAGGTAGGGCGAGGTGACGAATTTGGGAGCGCTCCATTTGCCGCCTTGGCTGTGAGAGAAGTGGCATTCTACGTGGCCGTTTACTGTAGGAGTTGTGGGAGTTAGTGGGGAGCTCACTTCCCTTCGCGGGACATAGATGGAGGGGTAGCGCATACCGTCACGGACTTTAAAGCCGACATTGTTCCAGTCAATGGAACTGACGGGAGGAGGAGGGAAGGTGGAGGTTGCCATTGTTCGATTTTATGAAAGATGTAAAAGAATTGAGATTGTTGAGAAAGTGAAAGGGAGGGGGAGACGTAGATGAAGAAGCAGAGAAAACAAGCTGATGATTCATGCTTGGGTAAAGGTGGGATGGCCGCCGAAAACAGTCTAGCGCGCGAATCAGGTAGAGCACGGCATTGCATTCAGGTATCAACATCAACACTGCGGAGTGCACGAATACGACAAATGGTTACTCCAGACCAATCTGTTGACCAATAGATCTGGAATTTGCATGGTGTTCCCCTGCAAGGGCACGATATGGTCTGTGATGCTCCGTGGGACGTCCTCGTATCGGCTGACGTCAGTTTCAACCACTGGACCTCTACGCGATGACTCGGTGCGATCATGATATAACAACCTTGGGATAGATGAAAACAATCCCCACTTCATCTCACATGGTGGAAATGGGGTATGGCACTAATGGACTATTTGAAGTTTTCCCCCACATTGCAGCTAGGGCGCACTTAGTCCGATCAACTATCGCAGAGTGGCGAATCACCGTGTTTATCTCCTTGGCGAGATGACATAGTGTATAAGCTTACTATACAAAAGCTCTTTGCTCAACGCTAGTGGTTCCATGGTTGAACGTATGATCTCCAGTGAAAACAACATATATTCAAAACACACCGATTGGGTGGATTGATTTAATGTTCAGATCTCCTTCACAAGAGACAAAAACCTCTTATGCCCGGAGACTTTGAAACACGACATCCGATAACAATTCCATTGTTATCGTTGCATGTACCGTACAATGAGACGAGCTATGACCTGTTCGCTTTTGAAACACGCACATACCACTTTTTATCCACACCTTTGATATCCACACCGCTAATACCGTCATAACATTTTCTGTTCTATTTCTTCTCACCATCATCCGTCGTAACCCAGGCACCACCTATATGATGTGCCATGTCTTTTGACGTGTAGTCACTCCGCATCCATATTGCTGAAGACTGTGTTTCGGGAAAGTGTGCGAGATCTTGGACATCCTCTGCGGTAAAAGCAGGCGTTCTCAGTGATGAGTTAGCGCAGCTGAGGGACTAGGATATGGTTAATAATTGTTCATTCTCGATAGGGAAGGTACAATGAATGAGCCTTTCACGTGATGGATCTTAGGCAGTGTCAGGGTTTCTCTGAACACACTGTACTAATTTCTGACCCCCTTGCGGCTGGAGCCCTTGGAAATGGATGGGCCAGGCTGCTGCACGAATCATCAATCACCACGAGCACGAACTGCCACTAGCACAGGCAGCAACATTGACAAGCAACGGTAGCTTTGTGATAGCAATGCGGTGGCCAATCGCGAGGCCAGCCTGCAAGGCTCTGTATGCAGGGGTCTTCAGAGATAGCAATGCTGTGGCCAATAGTTACTCATATTTTCGAAGGTCAAATTGATCCTAACTTTTAGCGCGTGGTAAACCGCCATTGATTCTCTAGCGTATATGCCTCTGGTCTCTAAGTCCTCGACAGGTTATTTAAGAGAACGACATACGCAGAAGCACACATGAAAATATGAAGCAGACTACTTAGTCAATTTGCCCTACAATATTATGCTCTTTCTACTAATAACCACCATGCTTCTGAACCCGTTCCGACCATGCGAGGGCTCGCCAACCTTCCAAGAGGAATACCGGGGCAGCTACGTACCAAAGGTTATCGACACCGGATATGGCCTCCAGGTTGTGGCGCCAGATACTCCATACGTGGCAGCGGCCGGCCCAGACAAGCTATACTTCATCGACACCCGGTTCGATCCCGAGACTGCAAACCATATCAAGACACAAATCGAAAAGGCAACTGTACCGAATCCGGAGGACTATGTCGCCATAGACGAGATTTTGGCTACGGCGGAAATCAAAAACTCTGTGACCGGCGAAACGACATTCGTGTTTGACCCCCTTTATGCCAGAGTACTGTTTGCAAGGGGAATGAACAGGCACAACCCGGAGCTTAAACTGCCGGAGCATGAGCCTGCCGGCGATTGGTTGGTGACCTACGACCTGGATGATATACTTACGAAGCGAAATTGATCTGTTCTGCTACAAATTTGGCTGTTACACCAAGCAGGCCTGCATACGGCAAAGAAATAGAGACCGTTTATCAGGGGGTTTGTATCCATTGTCACTTGAAGGGGGTTCAATGCTTTCTTCACAATCCAGAGATATTGACTATATTGAGATCAGCTATGGACGTTTAGTGGGTATTAAATGAAGAGTGATATGCCTCTTGCCATTTACTAAGTATAAAAGAGTACTATACAACACCTGGATGATCGGACCTTAGTATTCTGTAATCAAAAACGACACATTTTTCCATTAGAGTGAATACTACTTCATACTTTCCTTGAGAGTTCTATTATAGGTCAGATCGTCTATACTGATTCGAGTATTCTCATACCCTAGACCCAGTATCTATTAACTGTTCTCTACCACCTGTGTCTGCAGCCCCCTCTGCCTCCGTTCATTCCCCTTGGTTTTGATATATTAATCCCAGATTAAACCATGACCATTAGAACCTTTCTCTTATTAGCAAAATAGGATCAAGTATGCATAACTCTTACCCCATACAACCATGTACTACGCTACATGTACCTTTCAACAGGATGAAGCCAAATTTCGAATTCTTCTGGAGTGACAGTTCGTAGAAAAGCATTGCTTAACAATCCCCCCCACCCCCCACATTCCTCCTTCTCCCATATCCACAAACATAAATAATATACGTAGAGACATACACATCTAGAGAGATAGGACCCCCAAATCAGGTCCAGCAAGTTCCAGAGCCCGGTCCCGGCTGGCACTGCATGCGTCCACCTTGGCATGACCAGCAACCATAGTCCCCTCGGCATTGGCATTTTCCAGGCTCGCAGTCCGCATGGGGCGGGTTAATGCCACCGCTGCACTGAAGGGAGAAGTCCTGACATTGTCAACTTAGATTGGGGCTTGTATTCATTCCTAGAGAAAGTGGACGTACGACTCCTTCGCCATTGTAAGTGAACTCGCCACTGGTGATTGTGTTTGTGGTGGCGCTGTTGGAGGTGGGCATAGCGGATACTCCGGCAATGGCTGTGAGACCGAGGATACTGGTGAGGAGTTTCATTTTGTGGAACAAGGAAGGAGATAGAAAGTCTCGCGTATTGGTGGGATTGGGGGTCTTGAGGAGAGCGGTAAGGAAGATGGGAAAGGTTTCTTGTTTTGCTTGACTTTTGGCGGGAGTTTGATGCCCTTTTATGTCTTTTCGTCTGGTCTAGTTCTCCTGTATTTTGCGGTATCATGCCCAACAGCGGAGGTGGGGGAGGGAAGATTCGATTCTGGTGACGGTGGTATGTCGGACAGAAAGGTATCCTTGATTGAATTGGGAGAACCTTGTCCTTCTGAGAGAGGACTATGCACTTCCCTGTCCGTATGGTACCATTGAGAGGAGAGTAACCAATGATAGCCCCAAGGCCGTCTACACTCTGACAAGGATGCATTCAAACCATGGCAGCATTTGTCGAGAATTGGCACACATGTCAGTCAGAACGAAGCCATACCTGCCTATGAGATCGTGGTGCCATTTGCAGTGGATATAGCATTGAAGTACTATACGATGACCCAGACCTATTAGCAGAGAAACCGACAACTATGATGGTTGCAAAGGGGTACTTACTCAACCCGCCGTCAGGACCTGCCATGGTACTATCGAGCGAACTTGAAATTTCGTAGTCTGCGAAGCTTTGCCGCCATGTCTGTGACGGAATGCAACAGGCGCATACATCTACTGAGGGTTATAAGTCCCACAAATGGAACAATATGCATGGACCACGACACCAGCGAGCACATACATCTTGACGCTACAATAGACTGTACTCGGGTAAAAGGCATGTAGCCTTTAGGTACTTACAAGCCCAAAGCTCGGCTTGCCTTCCAATACCATTCTGGCACGAACATTAATGCCGATCTTATAGAGTATGTGGTAGGGGTTGATGCAATAGTGATCACAAATCAAAGTCCGAAAACTAGCGCCTTGACAAGTCTACCAAGCTCGTCCCTCACCAGTAATACCGGAGCAAAGTGGGAGGGAAATGACAGGAACGTTTGAAGTGTATCCCAAGTAATCTAGAAGCAGCTATCTTTGCCATCTCGAGGACCTCGGAAGTAGAATCCACTCTGAGTGGGGCACGGGCATCCAGGATGTACATATTAGTGTCAACCGCTGCCTTTCCTTTTTTATTAGCTGCATTAGTACACGAAAACTGGGCAGTGCCCGCCAAGGGCTACGTATGGAAGATTGCTTTAATTCCCTTCATCCGGTCCGCCCCCGGATTGTCGTCAATTTGGCCTAGAAGGCGTGACTGTCCAGAAAAGCTTAGCATTATCTGGTTACAACTCTTATCTATCTCAAGAAACTCTATCTCCGCCCTGACCCAGTAAATAATCAAGGAGACGAGTCGAAAGGGGAACAACAGGGGTAAGCGGACCAGCACTGCTAAGACTCCGGAAATGTTGACAACGATATGCGTTCCCCTGTCGGTTTTGCCTGCCTCTCCGACTTTTCCCATTAGGTGGAATGACGGAGCAACAAATCGGTATAGATGCATCTGCGAAACGGGGTCACCCCTGTAGTGACAATGAGACGTGGGTCACGATAATTGCTTCCTGCGCCGTCGCTACCTAATCACTAGGAAGGGAAGAAGGCTGTGGACCATTCAAAGGTACAACCGTCCTAGAAAATATTGGCTGTAGGTCATAATTGGCCAAGTTAAGCGGTGTTACTCTTTGTGGTCCATCGCCAAGGTAGGGTATACCGAGTTTGAATATTTACATCATGATATTTTTGACAGGAGTTCAGTTTTATGGCAAACTCGGATGCACGATTACATATTGTGGTGTGCTCGCAGGACGATCAATCGGATAGCCGTATAGTATAACAGATACTAGTATTTCATGCTGCCGCGAAGGACCTGAGAAAGGTATCGGAAGTTGTGGACAAAGTAACAGTGGACAATACGTGGAAGAGCAAGGCAGATCTTTAAGAAATATAGGTTCAGTGGGCCTACTATGAAAGAGTTTTCCATGCTTATTATGACAGAGGTCAAAAGGATGTAACAGTGTTTACAGATTAATACCTTTGTCTCATGTATATAAGGATCAGTTCATGGTAGCTTCGTACTGGCATCGGAAAGCATCATATTCTATCTGAAAACCTTTCGGATTCATAACTCGTAAAGAATGACTTAGTGAATATACATGGTAGCAGATATTAATATCCTTCATACAACCATTACCCTTTTGTGTCGGACGGCTCTAATTCATGCGCATCATGCTCAATACTCCAAGAGCACAACATTTGAGTCTCCAACCACCATATCTAAGTGCAATGCACCTCGCCACCCTCATGAGTATGGCAATTCTACGGTACATCAGCTACCATCCCAAAGAAGTAAGACAAGAATAAAACTCACCTCAGGCAAATCATCCGCAGCATCATCCGCAGCCTCTTCATTTTCCTCATACTCACCCACACACCCAACCCCCGGCGCAGCAATATCATACGCATAAGCCTCAAGCGCAAAATACTGCAGTGTCTCCGAGTCCCGCGTGGAGGTACTCTTGTTCCCAGCCGCAAGCTCAAGAACCTCTCCATACCCGTCCGCAAAATGTTCCACCCAGCTCTGTCCAATAGGGGGCATATGGAAGAGTCTGTGCAGCAGGTCCGCAGCCCAGAAGGTGTTCGTCTCGGACCCGGAAATCGTGTATCCGAGGGAGCACATGGAGGTCAGCGAGCGGCGGGTTGAGTAGCTTAGATCGCAGATGACGGTTTCAGCGGTGCCGTTTTCGCCGCGCCAGTGGCCTGCCCAGCCTGTTTTATTCATCGTGTTAGTATAGGGATGGGACTTAGACCTGTTTGGTGGACTGGGAGGGAGGGAGTACGAACCTTCATTATCACAGTTGCCGTCTGGGTTGTCACATCGGAATAGCACACTGCCTTTGTCGCCGTTGCTGACGATGTCGTAGGCGCCGATGGCTTCAAAGGAGGGTCTGTTACCGAAGTATTTGCGGTAGATCGTGCTTTCATTGCCCCAGCGGAGGATGTGGGCTTTTGCGTGGTCGACTAGAGCTATGGTCTCGTTGAGGCCGGCTTCAATCTGCCGACGCTGGGTCGCATTGCAGCTTTGGTGGATTGGGTACTGGGTCGTTGCACCGGCATCCCAGGGGGATGGGGCATGGGGGGTGGTTTGTTCGCGAGTGGTGAGAGCGATGGGGGCCGGAATGGCCGCAACGGTGGACAAGAGGAGGAAGGGGATGAGGGCTACCATTTTGGCTAGGGCGGGATAGATACTTGGGGAGCTTTTGGAGTCTATGGATCTACATGATCACGGTGATATATGGGCTTTTATACTGTGGTTTCTGGATCCGGTGCTTGTCTCTTCTTGTCGTGGCTGTTGCCAAGTGCTTTGACGGATCGTATTCAGAGTTTTCGGTACATCTGGAAGCGATGGCATAGGAATATCATAATTTCCATATCTTGTGCCAAGCAGCACCTTGTGGTTAAGCTTGATATCATTCTGAATGATAAGTGTAGGTGGTGAAGGCTTGTAATGTGACCATGGAATCATGTCCGAAACGACAGCAAGGCATCATATGATGCGAGACATCTGTAGAAATTCCTAGGAGAAGCTGGCAAAGCATCTCCTGACATGCACACAATCCAACATCCCACGTATTTACTAAACCTGCACATACAACATGTCGTGGTCAGATATCAGCATGAACCATGATGCCAAGACATCGTGGGCATGGAAAGGGCGGCCCATGCCAAGGGCTTGGTAGAGGACCTTGGGGGAAACAAGCCGTCTTCATTCTCGACGGTCTTATCTCGGATTGTCCAATATGATTCAATATAAAGGCGGGTATAATCATTGGAAGCTTCTTGGCGGAGGAGACAGTCGTGCTTGGCACAGATACCTTGGGGGTTAGCCCGCGAGGTTTCTCGGCGGAAGGGTAAATCTCTGTCAGAAGGCAATACTAGTAGCACGCCGTCATGTCGGAGAAATCCGACTTTGGCGCGGTTTTTCCAAGTAGTCGAAATTACTGCCTGCTAAGCGAGTCATTGCATAGGGTGACACCTTGTGAGAACAGCGGGATAAATAGTAGTTGATCAAGAACTGATTTCTCGGCTCATTATCCTCTCTTCACTTGACATTGAAGTTGTGATACAGAGATCATGGTCAATATTCTTCGGGGGTTGTTTGTGGCGTCTCTTGCAGCCAGCGTGGTGCATGCACAGTCCTACTCGGGATGTCACACACATGGCAGCGTGGAGTACTGCTACGGGGCTGATGGCGAAGAGACCCCCATCACCACACATGCACAGGCGACGGCCACGTCTGTGTCTGCTACTACAACTTCATCTGCACAGTCATCTGCAGTGACGGGGTGTCATAACCACGGTGACGACGTCTACTGCATAAATGGCGAAGGAAATGAGGTGCAGGTATCGTTGACCGCGACCCCAACTGGAGAGCTGCCCGCGCAGTATACCGGTTGCCACTCCCACGGTAGCTCACAGTGAGTATACCCCTCGAGGCCGGATTTGACTCTATCTCACCCGCCATAGGTACTGCTTGGACGCAGATGGAAACGATGTCCAGATTCTGGAAGAGGGCGAAACCGGAGGTGAAAGCGAGAGTACCAGCGAGTCCAGTAGCGAGTCCAGCGGCGAACTAAACTGTCATTTCCATGCTGGCGTTGAGTATGTTTTTCACAAAGACATAAGCTATGACCAAAACAATAGAAGCTAACAGAACTAGGCACTGCGTCGGTGCAGGCGAGTCGGAAGGGTCGAGCGAGAAATCCTGCGGTGTCCAGAGTCGCGACTATGATATGCCACTGCGGATTGGAACATTGTTCGTGGTACTTGTCACAAGTGCCCTTGGTGTCTTCCTTCCGATGTTGCTGGTTAAACTTCCCTTTCCCACGATCAATACTATGGCCGCAACTGTTATCAAGCAATTTGGTACTGGTGTGATCCTGTCCACCGCGTTTGTTCATGTGAGGCTGGCATTCTTGGAGCTTTCTGAACCCTGCTAATCGTGTTTAGCTATACACCCATGCCAACCTCATGTTCACGAACGAATGCCTCGGCGAGCTCGACTACGAAGCCACCACGTCCGCCGTCGTGATGGCCGGTATCTTCCTTTCCTTCCTCACCGAATTCATCGGCCATCGTTTCATCGCAGCCCGTGGACATAAATCAGCCTCGGAATGCTGCGAGGACACACCATCGAACAATGAGTCCGCAAATCCAAAGGAAAACACAGCACCACGGACGATGCAGCTCACCCAGCTAAGCCACAGCCACGGCGGTGATGGTGCTAACACGAAACTGTCAGTACTGGTCATGGAAGCGGGTGTGATCTTCCACAGTATCCTGATCGGCTTGACGCTGGTAGTCGCGGGCGACTCCTTTTACAAGACCTTGCTGGTGGTTATTGTGTTCCACCAGTTCTTCGAAGGTCTGGCACTCGGAGCACGGATTGCGATGCTTCCGGGTCGCATCTTCCCCAGTAAAGCCGTGATGGCAGGGACCTTTGCACTGATTACGCCGATCGGAATGGCGATCGGAATGGGAGTGCTGCACTCGTTCAATGGCAACGCGCGAAGCACCCTGATCGCACTGGGAACACTGGACGCTTTGTCGGCTGGTATTCTGGTGTGGGTGGGTGTTGTGGATATGTGGGCGAGAGACTGGGTGATTGAAGGAGGCGAGTTGCTGGATGCGCCCTTGCCAAAAGTGTTGGTGGGAGGAGTGTCCCTGATAGCCGGTATGGTCCTGATGGGCATGCTGGGCAAGTGGGCCTAATCTTTAAAATACTGTTGATTGCTGTATATAGACTACGATTGCGATGGATAATATTGGAAATTTACAAGCGACATTGGTTTTCATTTAATATGGCATGTTCATTAGGGCCTACAACACACGTGATGGTAAACCGATGTAACGCTCAGACAGTGAGTGATTTCTCTGTCCTCTACTAGCGAACCGGCTAAATTCTCGTGAGTGACTAACGGCCGAGGTTCATTTATTACTTAAACGGGTGCCCGGTCCCCTTGGCGCCCTTCTTATCAACAGCCCCTCGGCCCCTAACGTAAACATGCAGTGATCTCTCACTAAGCCAATTTATGGTGCAGCTGAATCGATCCAATATGACGAACAATATTGACATCCACTACGCCACTGAGTCTGAGGCAGCCGCCCTTGGCGCTATCAATATAGCCAGTTTCAGACATCAACAAATGTGGCTAAATGCTCTGCCGGGGATCGAGCCCGAGATCTGTATACCGATGAAACAGGCTCGCTGTCTTGAGAAGATGGAGTCCCCAGATATCCATGTTTTCTCCGCGGTGGATACCAGCGTTGATCGGATAGTGGGGTATGCCCGCTGGACAGTTCCCTGGGAGGAAAATAAAGTCGAGTTATCCGAGGAGGGCAGAGCGATGGTGGCGAATGCAGCAAGCCTAAGACCAAAGGAAATGAGGGAAGATGTCTGGGAAGCCGGTTTCAAGCGGATCAAAGAGAAAAGGGCTGTTAACGTTAAAAAAGATGACATGGGTACGTGGGTTTCTGCAATTTGTCGCCTTGTGTTTCAATTCCTTTCTTGGCTGTTTGGGTACATTCCCCACATTACGTGAAGCTTGTCTGTCACGGTCTTTACTAATGTCACCCAAAACAATAGTCTTGGATATTCTAGCCATTTCACCCGAATACCAAGGCAAGGGGATCGGCAGCAAACTGCTGCGGTGGGGGACTCAACAAGCTGATGCCCGCAACGCGCGCATCTATCTTGAGGCCACCATCGAGGGATACCCGCTCTACCGCAAGTACGGGTGGCACGAAATGGAGAGGCTTGTGATTGACTATGCAGAGTACGGTGGCACCGGCCAGGCGGTGTTTGTGCTCATGATGCGAGACCCTCAGAGTACTGCCGTGGCACAGGGTTGATGACGTTCAGCCCCGTCGACTCATCGCGGATCGGCCTGAGGCAGCCATCAGGTGCATGATAAGAGGTCAGCTGACGGCAGATAACGGCAGAACCTGCCTAATCTCGCCTAGCGGCTTGGCCAGGTGATCATCACCGAGGGCGTTGATTGGTCAGGGTGGGATTTGTATGTACAATCCAACCATCCGCGTCGAACTGCCAGGAAGGGCTAAAGGCTGTGTGATAGATAGACCTTATAAGACGACTGCTCATGCTCAGCACTGAAGGGATAGAAAATCCAAAAGTCTCAAATCCGCCACAAGAGCTGCTCATCTGTATTGCATCTCCTCTCCGGCTCGTATCCGTCCTCCTATTGTCGTACAGTCCGTCCTTCTCTTCTGCGAGGCTCGTCGACCTTAGATGGCGTTATCCTTGTTCCCCCTTCGCCGCCATTCGCACTCTTATACCATTGCGTTATCCCAGCCCATTCGCAGACACAGTAAAAATTGAATATCAGCCGCTAGAACGGAGACCAAGACTTTCAATATGGCGCTCCAGATCGTCCCCATGACCAAACAGGACATTCCTGAGGCCGTAGAATGCGTCCAGACGGCATTTGCCGAGGATCCGTATTTCCACTGGTTATTCGATTCTTCAGAAGTAAGTCTCGAATTATCGATCTATATATGGCTGCCTGAAGCCCATCCATAGAGAGAAAAAAAAAAAAAGAGAAAAAAAGAAAAAGGCTGCATAGATCCTAAACGCATGATGATGAATAGTACAATATCCACCGGAACGCCGCCTCCCTCGCCGCCCACTTTCAATATGGCCTGAACTGCAACACCCCGATGTACGTCGCCAAGGTCCCTATCAGCGACAAGCACCCTCGCTCGGTCGTCGGCGTCAGCTGGTGGTTCTCTCCCCAACCGGCCTCCAAGCCCGTTCCTTGGTCCGTCTGGGCCCAGGACTGGCTCCTCTCCTTCCGCCAGTTCTTCTTCAACGTCCGCTTCGGCGGACGAGGTGGCCTCAACCTCCACCGGTACAACATGTGGAAGGAGTTGCAGCGGAAAACCCACGACGTAGTCTGGACCGACCCGCGTGGGTATTACTTCTGTAATGTCTTGGCTGTGAGCTCGGAAATGCGCGGGATGGGGCTGGGCCGGAAGCTGGTGGAGGTTGTCACGCAGCAGGCGGACCGTGATGGCATGCCATGTTATTTAGAGAGCTCGAAGGGAGTTCCGAATATCATTATTTACGAGAAACTGGGCTTTCACTTAGTCACAGAGATTGATTGTGTGGATGGGAAGGATGCTTGCAAGGTAAGTTGGTCTGTTTTGCTTGTGGGTTATGCTAATTTTGTAGCTGTATTGTATGGTTCGGAAGCCGAAGATCAAGGCATAAAACGGACTTTTACACAGGTTTTGCCCTATGAGATTGTCCTCTGCGAAGGATCTCGTAATAAGCATTGGCTATACACTCGACTCGGACAGACTTGTTACTAGGGCTGCGGGGAGTGTACCGCTTCGCCGATGATATCCGGTGGGTAGATTATACATGAATTTCGCCCGAGCATTCCCGCCCGGCCTCATAAGATCCCCATTGTATGACACACACTTGCTCTGCCTAGAAATTTTCTTCAATAAATTACTTTTGATCATACACACATTTGGAATTGACTGGCTGTTCAGTCAGGTTTATTCACCAGAGAGTATAGCGGCTCCAATGGCGTCTGGATGGACGAGTAACTTGTCTGCTTTTCACCATCGCTCAACTCAAGTGACAAGAGGGTAGGTGAACAGAAACTAGGAATGCGAGCATGTCGGGAGATATTGTCTTAATTAATTTTTCTGGGGTGAAAAGTTGTGAGTTTACTATACAGTATAATGTCTGTTTCCTGGCCGCATAACATCATAATATAGCCTGCAGGGCGTCTTCAAAGAGCCTGGTTGGTATATACAAGAAACGCTCACAGAATAGTACTATAAACACATCAGAAACGATCCTAAAACTATAAGAAAAGCCCGAATGGAAGAAAATGTCAAGAGTTATTCACATCTCTGGTATAAGTGTACATGAAATCGCTCTTGCGTCCGTATAGCTTTACACACGTACAATGTTTGAAATCAAGGTGCTCCACATTGGCCGCTTGGAACCTCTTAGCACTATTATTCCTTTCCAAGTAGGGCTGGAAAGAAACTATCGTCAGGTCAGTTATAGGGTACGGGGAGCACCTACGAGTGAATCTATCCTTTATATGTTTCTAACCTTCGAGCCTTCCTGGGCTACAATCTAAAACTTTTGCACAATCGCTAACATCATGGAGCGTTAGGCTACTGCCGTGCTATTGTTCAACGGCAAACTTTATTTTGAGAACTACTAAACCGTGTTCAAGATACCATTGGAAGGTATTTTCATTCCTTGAGACGCATCTAACTGCCGGGCTGTTCTTCACTAGGATTGGCCCCCAAGTCGACCACGTCCTCAGTGTCTTCATCGGAACCGTTAGTCAGTTCATGGTAAGGCGATGAGATCTCAGTTCCTTCTACTTCATCAACTGCCCGAGGGGTGAGAAGTTCGAGAAACACGCGTATTTCCACTCCTTCCTGCGTTTGTGTCGTTAGGTCGATCAACTTCCGGCCATCCGCCAATAGGCCAACCGAAGCTCCCCGTTCAACTAACATTCTCACGCAATCAATGTGGGACCATGCCACTGCTATATGGAGTGGTGTCATATTGTCCCTGTCTTTTGGATCGAGTACAGCCCCAGCATTGATTAAAGCCTCGACACATGCTACCCATCCATGTCGAGCTGCCCTGTGGAGTGGCGTTTCGCGGTTATGGTTTTGTACATCCACTGCAGCCCCTGCTTTAAGTAAAGTTTCCATGCAGTTTGCGGTTTTCTCAAACCGTGGGTAATGAAGGAACCCCTCGTGAACCCACCACTGAGGATAATACTCAACGCAGGGGCCAGCTGAGTAGTGAAGTGGTGTGTTGTCTTGCTCGGTCTTAGCATTGACTGAAGCACCAGCTTCAAGCAAGGCATTGACGCATTCCAAGTGACCGAGGCTCACTGCAAAGTGGAGTGGAGTTGTAGTGTTTTCATACCGGTCGCCGTTCACTATAGCACCATGATGGATCAGCAGCTCAACTCCAGGTATATACCCCTGGGCAGCTGCGACATTAAGATGCCTGGGCCCTGGGTAACCTTCCACACTTGCACCTCGCTCTAATAATAGATTGATGATCTTCTCTCGGTCATGATGAGGGTACCGAATATTCGCTGCTAATGCACATCCAAGCGGCGTAATGCTCACAAACCGGAAGCCCACATGATGCACATCCGCCCCCAGTTGAAGCAATAGTTTCACAATTTCGTATTCTCCAATGTATGCTGCGTAGTGTAGAGGGGTAAAGTTTTTATTTATTGGGTCGTTCACGCCATGGCCGCGTTCAAGGATCTCTTGCGCCATCGCGAAGTTTCCATTCCCCAAGGCGAGCTGAAGCAGTGTTATTTCTGGCTCACCGTAGGGCCCGTAAATATCACTCTTCGTGATATCTATCTTATTGAAGATCTCCATTCGTTCAAACAGGGTAGCAAGAAAAACCGCATTTTCAGAACGTACGTTTCCTTTACATGTGCATTGCATGCGGGGATCGGCACCATTGTCCAGTAGCCTCACGGCGAGGTCGTCAAGTCCAAGACCTATGGCAAATTCAAGCCAGGTATGAGTGTCCGTTACAGAATGGCTATTCCGAAATTCGGCGTTTCCTGTTTAGCAAGTCATGCTTAGTGGGGCGCTGGATCAAGATCTTTATTATCAGAAGGAGCTCACCAAGTTTGTACAGATATGGTTGCAATGTCCTGTAAAAAGTGTGATTTACGCTGCTGAATACAGACACATCGGCCAAGGGAAGAAGGTCAGCAATCATCCAGAAAAGGTCGGCTGGCAATAATTCTAGATTACTCTTGTCTATACTTTGCGTGTCGTCGACTCCCCCTTCCTGAGAACCGCTGGCGGCGTCCTTTGTTTCCATGCTATCGTGAGGATACAAAGAATAGGATGCCCACAGATCGCTGAATGATGCAAATCGCAAGCAAAGTATGAGTAAAGCTATCGAGGAAGACGACAGGACTGGGACGAGCTCTGCATGGAAGATGCACCGCAAGCCTGGGCGATGAAGATTGTTATATAGCTCCAGATGGCCCTATCGGTATCACTCCGTGGTTCAATATATAGTTGTTGAATGAAAGTGTCCCTTATATACGTGTTTTGTACGGTCTGGCTCTTTCTGCCTATTCATTGATTTCACTCAGCTTTGACTCGAGGGCTCGTGTAGCAACAATCGTCGTCAATGTTCTCCTACTTTAAAAGATAAGTCAGGCACCTACCGTGAGCCAAGATGTGCCGAGATGGTGATACTTCCCAACGTTGGTTCATTTTGAGCCAAGGGTCTAGTAAACTGTCCTCATTAACCCTTTCTCAAGGGAAATGCCACTATTATCTGCTTAGCATTACAGGCTCTTTCATTGATGTATACCTGAAGGAGTTAACACGAATACATGGACCCTCGATGGGACGGATGGAGGGGCTTTTGGATATTCGATGCCGCCTTGGGCTATGGAATCCAATTCCTTCGGTACTCTTTCGACTGGTAAGGATATTGGTTTAAAGCGGTCACTTCCTTGCGATCTCTTGCTATCTTGGATGGATGCGAGGAAAGATCCCAGCCGGCAAGAGCTATGCCAATCCAACACTCATTGTCGTGAATGCGAAGAGACCATTTGCCAAGCACGATCTCCTAGTTGCGTCTTCCCAGGCCCATATTTCCAGAATGGGTAAAGGATCTGCATAAGCCAGGGCGCACCCGCAGAAAACTGAAGAATACAGAAGCCTTGATCTCCCGTGAAGATAAGCAAGCGCATGATACACCCCCGGTAAACGCAATGAAGTTTCTCTCGGCAATTTTTCTCTATGCTGCTGCTGGGCTAGCCAGCGCCACCAGCCCATCGGGCTGCGGAAAACCCTTACCAGCAAACCAGAGCCCTGGCGGATCCAGTTACGGGGTCAATTTCACCACATCAGACGGCACTCAACGATTCTATCGACTCCACATCCCTTCTAACTATGATGTGAACAAACCTGCTCCACTCATATTCTCATTTCACGGGCGAGGCAAAACAGCGGAAAGCCAGGAGAAGCTGTCTCAATTCAGCAACGAAGATTGGAATCCAGATGCCATTGCTGTGTATCCGCAGGGGCTGAACGTATGTCATTATCGCTCTATTATCCTTTATCAGTGGGATGATTACACTAACATGCATACAGAAAGAATGGCAGGGAGATCCACACTCCAAAGACGTCGACGACGTAGCATTCACCATGGAAATGCTCGACGACCTGCAGGGAAAGTACTGCGTCGATTCTGCTCGTGTATACGCAACAGGCAAATCTAACGGCGGGGGGTTTACAAACCTGCTAGCCTGTGATCCAACAGCATCTACCCGGATTGCTGCCTTTGCTCCAGTCGCGGGTGCTTATTATCAGGATGTCTCTGAGGAAGAGTGCCGTCCTGCTACGGTACCGATCAAGTGTTCTCCCGGTCGCCCCTCGATCCCCATAATTGAATTTCATGGGACGGCGGATAAGACAATTCCTTACGGTGGAGGTGGCCGGCGCGGCAAATGTCTTCCTTCTATCCCGCACTTCGTGCGTGAATGGTCGAAGCGACTGGGGTACGGGCTCCACAACAAGACGAAGGAGTTGTACGGTGGTAATGTACAGGAGTATCAGTATGGGAGTGGTGGTGGCCTTGGGATTGTTACCCATTACCGGATTCAAGGGTTGGGACATGACTGGCCAAGTGTGCGGCCGAATAGTGACAATCCCAATGGGACGTATCTGGATGCAACGCCAATTATTATTAAGTTCTTCGGACGATGGGCGCTTCCTGGCACCTCCGAGGAGAATTGAAGTCATGCAGAATAGACGCTTCAAATAGTTCGCTGTGGTTTAAAGATGATCTGGACAAGAGTCGAAACGTCACAACACTGCGTGAAATCGGTGTGGAAGATGCCGCTTATGGTTCTACAAGTGTTCAGGCATATATTCTCAAATTATTGCTGATATCATCGTGCTAGCCTACTATTACTAGTCATACAGCACATATGAAATGGTTGGTCGCACTGCTGAACGGTATCCTACAGTCCAGAAAGTAAGACAAATATAAAGCCAATCATCGATTCAAGCAGAATATAATGTGCCGGAAGTTATCCCTTCCGCTGTATACTAGTGTAGACCTCCGCCAATAGAGGGCATTCGTTTAACTTGCTTTGTCTCTCGAAAACTACTAGGCAAATGGCGATCTTTTCAGTCCTGACATCCCAGGAACTTGACTACTTTTATCTCTGGGGCTAAAACCTCCAAGCAATGGATTGGAAATCTACAAAACTGTGGATCATTGACGTTCTGGGCCCTTATCCGCGTCGAAACAGTGGATCCCGCAAGCCTACTCGTTCAGTGATAGGTGGATCTCTGTCGGTGCTGTGATAATTTTAGGGTAGCTTCAAGCGATCAATGCAAGATCGAATTGCTACCGGGGCACTTCTCAGCATGTTTCATTTTATACCGTGGGCGCGAGTGACTGTCTTACTTTTCCGGGCTGAGCCGGGGAAACCCCTATGCTGGGGGCATCTCGCTTGGTGACCCCTGAGAGGTAGGAATGGCTGGCTGGCTGGCTTTGAGCTCTTCGCGATAATTTTTTAAGTGTGTGTTAAGTCAGGGAACGTGTAAGAGATGAAGCCAGGACACTGCATTCCACAAGATCAAAAGGCCAGCATAATTCTGAATCGACGATTCAGAATAGCCTGGAGTGGTCTAAATAGTAAGCCGCCGTTACAGAATGTCTCACTTCAGTCCCCCATTGCACAGATTTGAAATGTGGCTTGGTGAGTTATAGTAATATGGTCATAGGATTATTTGAAGTTGGGTAAAGAGGCTACAGCGTGGTAGAGTGGCATCAACCCATAAAGTAGAATATGCATAAAGAGTTTGGGTAAGAGCCGGGGTATCACAACTATCTTCTAAAGAAGGGCATGCCCAGTCTGTCAGGCACAGAGTATTTAGAGGTGAATTCCTCCGCCTGAGTTCTCTTTGGTTAGGTTTCACCGGACAACTCGGGGCCCATAGCCTAGCGCACCTACGACATAGGAGATTTGAAGTGCCATATTATAAGATCCGTAATACCTAGTGCGGTATTGTGTTCCATACATCCTACCGTTAAAATGGTTGATGTGGACTAACAATATCCATACATTGTGTGTATTCAGATGAACACTTGCTGCACAATCTGAAATGCATGTATAGTCCCGCTTGAACCTACCTGTGTATCGGTTGTCGAACATGAATGCTTCTGTAAAAACCAATCACGGTTGTAAGAATAAGTGAACAAAACTGAAACATATCGAATGTGCTATAGCCTTCGACGGAAAACATGTGCCCGATGTCTTATATGCGGAGACCCAGCCATGTGGGAATAGATCCATAATCGAACACCAAGCTTAGTGTTAGTTACTCCGGTGGTTTCCATTTGCTCCCAATTTCTAAAGGGCAGTCTCACGACAGAATTCAATATTGATAAAATGTACACAAGTAGGAATAACGTCGAGTATGCTCGCTATGGGTGGTGTTCATACAGAGGCCATCTACAGTTTAAGATCATTCTCACCTCCTCAGAACTATTGCGTTGGTGCGGGCAACCAGAAGCGAATTTATTTGCATTCTCCATCGTTGCGCCAGTAAGAAGGGTATCCTAGAGAGAAAAAATTTACTAGTGATGATTATTCTATAGCCATTGACAGCTTTTTTGACTTTTCCAGCTTTAACCATCCGACACCCTAACCGATCCCAAGCTAAAATAGGCCCATGCAAAGTTGGTGTTCAGCTCGCCACTGTCTTAAATCAGCGTGGACACGCTTTCTAAAATGGGATATATTCAAATCCTGATTGATGAGTTCGGCTCGAGGGATCGGAGATCTTCTAGGGAGTGCAATTAGATTAAAGCCTATGAGGCAAGTTGTTTCATATTAAGACACGGTGTGGGATTGGCCAGTATCCAGCAGCTTTGCAGAGAGCCTGCCGCGGGCGCTGGATTGGATATAAAGTGACCGCCATGCCACAAACCCAATGACCCTTTCGAAGCAGGCTTGTCACAAGGTGGCAAATTCAAAAGGATGAGGTGGTTGAAGCAGACTTACAATTCGATAAGCAGCGAGGACATCGAGGAGAGCAGGGCGGAGGCAATCAGAGACTTTCTTACCGCGAAAAATGACAGAAATGCCGCTGCTCCCAACCGGCAATCTGATCATTCTCCAACTAATCAACCTCTGACACTCCAAGACAGTGAGTCTCCCAACAAGGGTGAGTATTCTGTGAGATCAGTTTCATAGGGGGTCGTCAAAAACTAAGCCTACCTGACATTCGGTGCAGTTCATCATTCCAGTCCGAAGCCCACAGAGCCTGATAAGATCACATCCCTCCTCGAGTCATTCGACAAGCCCCCTATGACCCCCCATACCCTTCCAACGCCCCCTCCCGGTCGCAGTGACAGTATATACTGTCTGGACACGGGCGCCAGCTCGATAATGGAACGCCCCACGGACCAATCTCCTCCTTCAAGGGCTCTACAAGGTACTAGTAGTGAAGCGGGAGACACATCGACTCTGAAGAAGCAGCGTTTACCTGGGTATGGAACCAACTAGCAGAAGGCTGGTATTGTTCCTGGTTTAATATGTGTGTGGAATGCAGCACGAGTGCATACTCTCGAGGTACTGGTGGAATTAATCTGGATTGTACAATGTGATATTATTTCAGCTTCGGATACAATCCAAACAAATTCTTAGGTTAGCAATGAGGGCGGCCTTCATGCCTCAGGCAAGAAAGGTAACCTTGAAAGGGATCGGGCTTGGCTGCCTGACAGCCTGAAAAGGTGTGCCTTCCTAATCAGGTATAGCTCAGGGGTCATGGGTCCAAAGAATAATTTCCAATTTTGGTCCGGATATCAGGGGCATCCATGAAGAGATTGGACATTGTACGTCAACCGCCTCTCCTGCTGTAAACAATTGAGAATTCAACTTTTGGTTCTCGAATACCTCCCCGGCCGGGACCCAGAATATGACGTCGCATATCATTAACCTCAAAGAGTAAACGATCTACTCGTCCTGGACCGTTCAGATCGCGAGACAAAGATCGACTGTGCGGAACGGCGGATCCTCCATGAGTTTGTCGATCTTATCAAAACTGCCCCCTATGGAGCGTGGGCACTCGATGAAGTAAGTATCTGCACATTCCTCATGGCCGTGCTGGAAAAGGGATTTCCACTGGTATTCTACAACCCCAAACCGATACGATGGGGTCGAATGACACCCGAAACGAGCTGGCTCCCCGAAAAGCGAAAAAGCAAATTACGAATCGTATTCGGCAATCAGGTAATTGGCTGGTTTCAACATTTCTTCGTGATTGTGGTATCTTTTGGACAAATCAAGAACCGTGTGCAACTCCGTCATCCCTCTAGCCCCTCCTTCCTCAGCCTCGACTGTATATAGCTGGTACAAGGCCAAGTCCACTTCAACTTTCCAACCCTCACATGCAGGTACCATTCTCGTTGGGGCTGCCGATATCACCCTTGATGACGCAGAGCTTCGAGCAGCAAGGAGTCTGCGAATCGCATGGCAAACCGTTGGGGGTGCATTGGTTCGGCACCGCAGCCACGGCAGCGACAAAGACAGAGAGAATGAGATAGGCGAGACGCATGTTGACCGGCAGATTAAATGTGATTTGAAGGACTGTAGGTCATTAGTCACCGGGCATGATCTACGTCAATCAAAGACTGTGTGAATACCTTTTAAGGTTATGCTTTTCAGGCTTGACGCAAGGGAGTGTGAGTAAGTAGCTTGGATGTCGGAAAGCCTCTCGGGGGGGGAGGCAGTCGATCCTTATATAGAGTCTGGGTGGGCCTGTTCATTACGGAGTAATTCTGAATTATTCCCTAGGTGTCAGATTTCAGTGACATTCCGAGGCCCACCTCCGGAGCCAGGAACGGCACTTGGGCGCATAGCTTGTTGCACTTAGCTCTGTCGGGAGTAGACCACCAACTACGCCATAGTAGGATAGGAACAGGTCGCAGTACTAGATTCGATACCCCACCGTCTCACAGCCAATCTCCTCGAGCCATTTTCTTAGCCACCACGGCTTTCCAGCTTGGTGTGGGTATCGGACTCGCTTAGGGCCTAGTCCCGCGCTACTCCTGGAAGCACATCTTACGGACAATACCAATGGCAGCATGAATAACTATAGAGTCTTATATTATTACAGCTCTCTTTACAGGCTCCAAGAGGTTCGAATAGCTGGTGGCGCATAGAACCAACATCCGTATTTCTTTCCATTCTTTGTTTCTCTTTGATGTTTCTTTGTCTCGCATCCTCTCTCAGGGCAAACCCCGCTCACCAACTGCGATGCTTCAGTATGAAGGGCTCCAGCACGCTCAGATATACCTGTGACGCCGTGAGACCTCATTAGATCCTTTTTCAGAAAGATCTGAGCGTACTATTTTCCGGCAATTTCCGGGACTTGAATTTGTCCACGTATGTGCATAGACTTAGCCTATCATCTCAACATCGGCACCTATCCAAAGTTTAAATCATTTGCTGAAACATGCACCCTGATGGCCGGAGAATCTTAACATTAATCCGCAACCCTCATCGTCTTAGTGGCGGCTGGATAATCTGAACAAACTGAAGCATATAGTCACCATATATGCGCAATCCCCTCTTTCAATCACTCTCGGTCTGAATTCTCCAACAGAATTTATTGCGCATCCCGTATGAGCTGTTGGGATGCTTAGAAGACATGGGCTGTATAACATGCAACATATCTTTTGCCTTCATGAATGCCATGATCAATAGCTCTGTTTGTTGCTACTGTTTACTTGTGTTGTATCAACCTACGGAGTAGCACAGGGCGAAGCATATGCGCATTTTCATCAAGGCGTCAAGGACAGATGGCAAGACACTGCTAGAACATCTTTTGAACATCTTCGCTGTCCGATGCGTGAAATGCTTTGTCAAGAATCGGTGAGCGACGTCACATAAAGGGATAAACACTCGGGAATGGCTTATTTCGGACCACAATACGTGAGTCCCATCTTGAACTGGTGTTCGAATGGTCTGGTGGGGGAATGAGGCATCACCGACCAAAGAGCGCCGGCAGTCGGGGGCACTCATTAGCGATATGATTGCGATCGGCGTTCGCGTTTCCTTTCCTTTTAGCCAAGCTTTTCCCTCTTTCACCCAACTCGTTGGTTCAGGCTCCATTTGTATGTGGTTGGCTGATCTGTCAATTGTGGAGACCTCAGTGCCTTTTAGCTAGTGTTCTAAATATATTACCGACAGAAATGCCTATTCAAGCACGGAGTAGGTAATCGATACTACCTCATAGTTAAGGGGCTGAAGGAATTCAGTACTACAGAGTATTCAGCGACAAGATCATGGTTCTAGAAGGGTATCCAGGAGTTGTCTTTGCTTTTAGTCTTCTGTTAAGGTGGAATCCCCTTATGCTTGGTCTTCCGGTCGCTCTACTTTAGAACGTAGCCAACTTCTACGATGTCCTAGGTCCTTTGCAGTATCATGGGTGTTAGGAAACACAGAATAAGGACAGACATAGTTTAGTAACTCTAATTTGCGGAGAGGCGCAACAGCTTGTCTCAGAGGTTCTGAGCCTATTAATAGAGGAAAATTTGATAGGGATAATCGGATACATATTTTCAGCCGAGCTTCCGCCGAATCCTGGAGTGATCAAGATCAATTAACGTAGCTCATGGTTAGCCGGGGACTTGCCATTAACATCACTTTGAACACAAATACTAAGTGGTAGCAATAATATATTAACCCTAATTGTAGAAATGTTGACTGACATGCAACGCGTCTGGCACGTCCCGACTCCGACTCCGGTTCCGATCCCGACTCTCCGACCCTCAACGACATCTGCGATCGCTCTTCCCTCAACAAGAAGTTATATATTAGTTCAATATGAATCGACGGCAATCTTCAAGGCGTCACGCATGTTTAGATGTATTGAGTTGAAAGTCAAATGTTCTATACAGGACAATGATAAAGAGTGTCAACGGTGCTCTCGATTGGGCCGTCCTTGTGTTTTCCCAAGTACTCTGCCGATCAATCCAGGCAGAAAAAGCCGGATCGATGAGCTTCAAGACCAGATCAATGAGCTCCGCAATCAGCTAGCGCAAAGGGGAAGTTGATCTTTTGCTATGTGGGAGCATTCAGCGTTGTCTGACTGGAGCCACAGGGCGAGAGGGCTTGTGGACAAAGCATGTCCGGGGATGAGCCAGTGCCACAGACTCTACGCCAATATAATTCGTCGATTGAACACACAATGTCCATCACTCCGCGCCTTGACTTGGGTGAGCCCGGCGACTTGTTGACTATTGGCATCCTTACCTTGGCTCAGTGTAATCGACTGTTGGGCAAGTTTCGCACGGTCAAAATGCCACAGTTTCCGTTTGTCATAATACCAGATTCAGTGAATGCGATCAGTATCCGCCGAGAATACTCTTTCTTGTTCATGACTATCATGACTGTCAGTACGGAGGAAAGACCGGCCTTACAAAAGAATTTGGACCATGAAGTCCAGCGAACTATCAGTACTCGTATCATTATGAATAACGAGCGCAACATAGATCTCCTGTTAGGTCTTCTTGTCTATACAGCGTGGTACCACTATCACTGGGAGTCAATGCTGCCGCACATGTATATGTTCCTTCAACTATCCGTCACAATGGTTGCTGACCTTGGGCTCGACCGGGAACCAAATTTCACCATGCGGAACATTGCAGCCAGCTTAGGAAGGCCCGCAAGCGCGCATCAGCTGAGTGCGAGCCATTCGGCGGCTGGAAAGAGGGCTCTGCTAGGAACCTTCTATTTGTGCTCGGTGTATGGACTTACCATATTGTTTACTGGAACCCACTGACATTGCAACAAGGTCGTCACTTTTTCGACAACAGTTGTTCATGAAACATACCAATTGGATCAATCAATGCTGCGATGACTTGATGAAGAATCCTGAATTTTCATCCGATCAACTTCTGAAAAGATATATAGACGTGCAAGTGCTGGCTCAAAAGAGTGCAGAAGTATTCAATGGCAATCTTCCCAGGCATACACATTCACCCTCAAATGGAGAGGGGAGGTTGCAGGCTAGAATCCAGGAGCTTGACAACGAATTTTGTTTATTTCAAGGTATGAAATATGAGCATAGAGAGCACAGAAGCAACACCTGTGAGTTACCTGGTTGCACAATATTATTCAACCGCAGTGGGTTTTGTTGTCTCTTACTAACCGCCGGTATACAAAAGGCGCTTATGTATTTGAACTAAAAGTCAAACCAGTTCTCATTCTTGGACAAATAGTCTACCACAGGAATGACACGTTCCTTCTTGATGAAATGGACCAGCTTGACGACCTCATCTCATCAGCGGAGAGCTTCATTGCCTCCTTCCTTGAGATCGTACCAGGAATTGCGATCCACCTCCCTCTATCCTTCTACACCTATCTCTGGTATGCGTTGTTAGTACTTTCAAAGGTCCTTTTGTTGTCCGACCTCGGGTGGGAAAGGACAACTGGGTTGGGGCGAAGAATTCACGGAGTCGCGCTGGCGGCTATCGAACAGCATGGAGAGCTCTCACGTGGTAACGATGTCTGGGCGAATACCAAGAGGGTCATAGGAAGCATGATATCATGGTTGGAAAAGCATCAAGACCTGCGAGGGACGGAGCAGAGAGTGCGAAAATGTCCGATCTCAACGATGCCCCATTCTACGGTTGTTAACGAGAATACACCACCCTTCGGCTTCTGCTGGTTCGGATTCGAACGAACCAGGAAGAAAACTAGCCTTTCCTACACAGCGCCCTGATCAAGTGATGACTGATATTAGATTTGACCAAATCGCCTCAGATGGTGTGGGCGACTGGGTGGATGACTACTGGGATGCAATACTATGGCAGCAAATGCTAGAAGGACCAGTATTCCCAGGGCTGCCTTCTCCCCTGCATATATCTAACTGAGAGTGCTCCCATGGTTGAGAGTTTGAAAGCCCCTGACGAAGGACATGTTAGAAATTAAATTTATCTCTTTTTTCCGTGGTTGTTGCCATGGGGCATTCCTCAGCCAAGACCAATTAGACCGGGTGAAATGCTGACTGAGCCTCTGAATGAGGCGGCAAGAATTTCTCCGAAGTATTGGCGACGATTCTCAGTTACGGCTGCTATTTCCCTTTTCAACCCTATTTATCAATGATATCCTCTTATCCAAGAGGTACTGGGTCACATATACTATGTCTCTCCACGCGATTGCCAATGGCTCTCGTAGATCACATCGGAAATCTCGTCTTGGATGTGGTAATTGTAAACGCCGCAGGGTCAAAGTAGGTACACTCTCAGTAATTATTATCCAACTATTATGTCCAACTGACGGTCTGTTCTACTCAGTGTGATGAGGTGAGGCCAGCCTGCAATGGCTGTCTGCGCCACTCAGTCGTGTGCGACTATCAGCTCGAGGAAGCAAATTCCAACGCCAATTCACAGCCGGTAATAAAGGCATCTAAGGTGGCAGCTAAGCGTCATACCTTCATTTCGTCGTATCAATCCAACTTCAAGCCACCAAAGCGTGCACATAGAACTCGCAAGTCCCTGGTAACGCAACTGCTCCAAATTTCCTCATCTGAGCGAATCCTTCCAGCATTGCCATGCCGACCATTTGAGTTTAGCATCGTCGATATGGAGCTGTTCCATAACTTCGTAAGTCCAACGGACTATGGCGCTTCAGATTATCAAAGTGCAACGAGAATTTACCACTCTCAACTTACCCGCCTTGGGTTCTCTTTCCCGTACGTACTACGCCTCCTGCTTGCGTCCTCGGGCTTTCAACTAGCACGGCGTCCAGAAATTATGCAGCAGCAACAGTCTGCCATACAGGGAAATAATTATCATGTGGTAGCCGAACGCCACTATAACATTGCCATACGAGAAGTGGCAGTTGCAGTGCCACGTTTGAATAAAGAAAATTGCCATGCAATTTACACCGCCGCGGTGCACATCTTCATCGGCTCACTCGCCATGGGGCCGCGACCAGGCGAGTACATGGCATTCCGAGATGATGGCCAACCTGGCTTCCTATCCTTATTCATTGGTGTCAGGACAGTATTGGAGATAAGCAGCAAGCTGTTTTCACCAGATGTAGTTTTAAAGGGTGATGAAGGAGAATTGAGTTCCGAGTCAGAATCGAACGCAGAGACAACAGGCTTCGTCAGAAGTTCAACTATCGCTTCTGAATATGGTTATTGGATGGGCCAGCTGCGACATCTAATAGAGTCTGAATTTGGCACGCAAGACCCGCGTTATTCAGTTTACTTTACGGTATTAGAACGACTTCACCAGTGCTACGATGCTATCTATAGCCCCATTTCGCCCATAACAACTGCGCTTCTATGGCCATGCGTCTTCGGGTGGCTCTACAGACTACCGGATGTTTTCATGTTTGGACTTCAGCAGAGGGACCAGCCGGCATTGGTCATATTTTCATATTTCGTTCTCTTGTTGAATGAGCTCACCTGGAATTGGTTCCTTCAAGATTGGCCTAGACATATCCTCACTGGCATTCGCCGTAACCTCGACATCTACCACCAACAATACCTGCAATGGCCTATGCACTGCGTGACAGCCAAAGTCTAGAAGACTTTGGCCCTGTGGACAGTTTGTGTCAAACATGCATGAGCGATAAAGCTTCTGATATATGGAAAAGTCAACTGGTCGCTCGCAATATGCCCTGTTTAGACTTTATGCGCACATTCTATGATCACCAGAGTACTAGGATCGCCTATGTTGCTGATTATCAGTGTAATTGTTGAACACATCTGCCTCTTCAAGGGCCATGCACGCTCCAAAATGCGAGATATCATGCATTTATTTACCACTAATAGGGAAGCATGATGCTGATACGCCAAACAGCCTTATCACTCCACCGGAAGTGCCTACAGGAGCAATAACACCTAGCGCGTGTGTGTGACTATAGGAGTCGAGCCCTACGCCTATGTACACAACGGGGGCTTTCCCCTGCCCCAGTGACCTGCAGATCCCACCACCTTTCTAATCGGAACAACACCTATGACGATCGAGACTCGGATGATACAGCTGGGGTCCTGGCCCGGGAATGCTAGGGCTGCTGCGAAGCAAGGGCCTTCGTTCGATCCACCACTGGACGTCTTTCGGAGTCAGAGTCACATTATCTTAGAGTATACTCTTGCAGGGAGCTCTGACGATCTTAGAAGCTGTAACTGAATTAGACTCCAAGTCAATCAGGGTTTAGTCTTTCTATATTAACAATATGAAATTCTTGAAACTTATGATAAAATATTGAACATACTATTTAGATAGAATGGCGCTTTTAGTACATTTTCTAGAATGCCATATCCATGTTTACACTGAGTTAAAGTTTGTCTGTAAAAGCCATGTAAATAAATTCGAGGCAGTACAACCCCGAGGCAGTTCCACTGATACTTAGCAAGTCAGAGCTGCTAACTACCGTGCCATTGTCTATATGCGCACGAACAAGAATCCATGAATCTCCGAGAAGAACGCGAGGATCTTCGGCGCAATTCATGTTCCAATACGAAGAAAAAAAAAAAAAAATAAAAAATAAAAAACATTCTCTGGAAGCCGTGCCACTACTCCGTCACTAACTACTAGTAGAAATGTGGACTTGTGTTTGTAGCTTAAGGTCCGAGGCAAATCCGTATTCAGTTTACCCATGTCCGAAACTATACCTTCCTCAAGGTAAGACAAGACCAATGCGAGAACACACGAGTAATTTAACCTCGCCACGACACGCCTAAATGGTATCTACTATCCACACAATGTCCTGGATTGAACCATGCCACTGTAGATCCTCGTGGCGCAGTAGCCTGTTCTATGGATACTAAGGTACTACGCAGTATAAAAATTAGGGTTACCTGAACAGGATCCACAGATGCTCATCAAATATTTAACTTTCTGTGAGCTCATTGGCCAGAGACCCATAATTTCTGCGATACGAACGTGGACTTCCTTTTCGGGCAAGTGGGTACCATAGCCTTAAGGAACTTTTGCACGAGGTAAAACGGAGGACTATGATCCCATAAAGGAGGGAGGAGGATGAATAGAGACTTTCAATCTCTTCTAATTCCTAGCTATTTAATCTCCGTGGTACCTGGCCCTGAAAACAAGACATCCGCAGAATCTTCTCTTCTTCTAGAAGCTAAGAACTTCACCTATACATGGAATCCGACCGTCTACACTCCTTCCTGCTTCCGTGAAGAATATCAAACCATCAACCACCACACTCCTTACCAGACAGTCATAATCAGTTCATCGCACTCACTCGCTTATACCTTGCATTCCTATCCAGCAGCCTGACTTCATCCAAAATGGCCCAAGCAACAGACAAAATCTACCGCTCCTGGCCTCATGGCCCGCCGACGTACTCGCAAGCCAACCCAGGCCAAGCCCGCGATATCACACATAACAGCGACTGGAACTATTCTCTCTTCGATTGCTGTGACCCAGGTTCACTGTGTAAGGCTGACATCACAACCCTTTCTCAAACAGTCTGAGAACATCACACAACTAACACGTGCAATCTTGATACTCCTAGGCCTGATGAGCTGGTGTCTCCCGTGTTTGACATTCGGGAAAACGCAAGCTAGGAACCATGATGCTAGCTTGAATAGCTTTAGTTACTGTAATGCAGATGTAAGTTTCTCTAATATATTAACCAGGAAGAAAGAGAGAGAACAGCTGCTGATGAGCACTTAAAGTGCACCATTTTCACTGGTCTCGCTTTCATTTACTCCCACTGGATCATCCAGACGATCAGACGCGGTGAGATGCGTGAACGCTTTGGTATTAAGGGTAGCTGTTGTGGGGATTGCTGTGTGACGTTTTGTTGTTCGTGCTGTGCTCTCATCCAGGAGGAGAAGGAGGCGGAGCTGCGGACGAGAGCGGAGTTGGGGTATCAGATGACGCCGGGGATGGAGTATAAATGAGCTCTGATATGCTAGGAGATGGTATACATTTTTGATTTGGTTCTTTTCACTCGTTACTGTATTTTCTTTTTAGATGGCATCTCTTTTATTCTTTTCCTTTGTTTACCAATTTGTTGATTTAAGTATATTTCCTCTGGATAGTCACAAAGAGTGGTCATAGTGCCCACTGGTCAAGCGATGTCTGCACCAAACTAGAATCAATGGGACCGAGGGCTCGGAATGTAGAGCTCATTTCACTCGCATTGTCCGTTACAGAGTGGGAAGAGTTGCCATGACCATCTTCGCGGGCTAGTCGCTCGTAGAAGCTTAGAAGCTTGTACGCTGGTTTATCCTCAACGTTGACATTATCCTTGCCAAGTGACTCAACCCAACTTTGTAGACTCACAGGGTTTGCACCGATGCGGCTCTGAATCGTTGGTAAAAGTGTAGCCCAGGTTGATCTATTTGGGTTGACTAGATTTATGACCCTTGCAGGACTACTGTGCTCATTCTCGTTGCCACCTTGGATGATTTCTAGGACGATTTGGGCTAGTGTATTCTGCAGCGGTTAGTGAATGCAGGTCAAAGGTAGAGGAGGGGGTACGTACAACAGGTATCCAGTCCACCGGCATACCCAAAGTCTCAGGTACAAAGCCCATTGATCTTGAAGTAAAGACTAGAGCAGGAAACCACTCTTCTCGATTCCAGCAGCCCCCAGACTTTGTCGTGGGCCCTGCAATCTGTCCGACTCGCAGAATAGTTACCGGAACACCTGAACGGGAGGACGCAGCCAAACAGACATTTTCAGCTACGTACTTGGATTGACCATACCCCTGTAATGGAGGCTGAACTGTATCCGGTACAATATCCTCCGGGATCTTCCCCTTTGATGGGTCCCAGCCGGATGTAGTAGCAACGGAGGATACAAGATACATATGTACTCTTTTTCGGCTGAATATGCTTAGATCCAGCAGGTTCCGCGTGCCACGTATGTGGTCATGCTCAAAGGAGTACATGGATAAATTGAAGTCCACCTTCCAGGCGTTATGTATGATGGCGTCGGTTGTATTCAGGAGCTCGTTGTATTTGCTCATCGATAACCCTAGACTTTTTTCCCCTAGGTTTGCCGTGAGGAACTCTGCTTTGGGAGATAGTAAAGCTTTCACGTTTAGGTGCCTGTCGTGGAATGAAGATCTCTGTCTTTCGAAGGCATCGGAGGATCTGTTCAGGCAGTGAACCTTCTTAATCGAAGGGTCCGATAACAGTGCGTCCAAAAGATAGCTGCCGAAAGAGCCGGTAGATCCTGTGAGTATGACATTGGACCGTGGGGACACCTGTACTGTTTTGTCCTCCACGCTTGGAAGTGAATTGGTGTATTTGTCGATGAGATGTTTCAACGCCGCTTGCACGTCTTCGACTTCATCCACTAATCCGTCACTACTGATGTCCCCTTTCACGACGTCCGAGAGATACGAGGCCAGACCCTTGATAGTGGAATATCTGTAAATTATCTGAGGATCAATCCGTATCCCATCTGATCCCATACCGATGCCCCGTGTTATCTTCCGAGCCATGCGAATCACCTGCAGAGAGTCTAATCCAGCAGTAAAGAAGTCTGTGTCGTCTGCGAGTTCGAGATGCTCGGAAACACAAGAGATTACACGTCGTACAAAGCCCTTCATATCATCTCCCAGAAGGGCATTACTTGAACTTCGCCCTGTACTTGAATTGTCGTCACTCCCCAGTGCCGATATATCGGATTTATACTCTTTGCAGACCAATGAACGTCTCAATGTCCCTTTGGCATTGAGCGGGAACGGTTTCTCACGGTTCGCAATTCCAACTCTATCCTTCTCGATATAAGCATAACTCGGGCCCAACTTATTCGCTGCTTCAACCCTATCCCAGATCTTATTGATGAAATCACCACCCTGGTCCTGGCTATCTAGCTTGTCCCAGTCCGGCTCCACTAGAAGCACGCATTCAGCCATCCCGTGACCAGCAATAATAGCCTTGTGCACGAGATCATGACGTTCGACTACCCCTTCCATCTCAATCGGGTTCACCTTCTCTCCATTCCCAAGGACGATCACATCGTCTGTTCGTCTTTCGAAATGCCACAGCCCATCTTTCGTGGGATGCCTCGAGAAAAGATCCTTTGTCCTCCATTCTAGAAGATCAGGGAACACATGAAAGATACCATGAAGTAGGCGGCTATCCGGTGACCGGCGAACAACCATCTCGAATAATCCTTCATCATGTGGCTCCATATGTATATCGGGGTAGAAGGGCCATTCGAAATACTTCCAATCACGGGGTGATGTCTTCGATTTGGTAGGTGGGATATGTCCCAACTCCGTTGACCCGATGAGAGGGATAAGCTTGCAATATTTACTGATTGTATCACCAGCCTCGGTGGAGAGTGGCCCCCCAGCAAAAAACATATATTCAATCTTTGAAACCGTCTTAAGCCCCTGTGCTGAAGTGCTCATATCCTGTAGGATGGACGGTGGAAGAACAGCGGCTCGTGGACGGAGTGTCGATAGTGTATCGAGCACAGAATCGACGTCAGGCTTGGAGGAGTAATGAATTATCTGTTGGCCGTGGAAGATTGCATCTAGGACCAGAGTAAATCCGATTAGATGAAAGAGCGGGCTCATTTGGAACATCGGCTCTCCGCGTTGTAGGCAATTCCACCATCCACACGTCGAGTCCTCGGGTGTACCAGGTGGTGCGCCCCTCTCCATAATGGAAAGATATCCATGAGTCAATGGGATGGGCTTCGGCTGTCCTGAGCTTCAGTTAATACTTTTAAGATATACACAATGGAGTGGTTATATGCCTACCAGTTGTCCCAGAGGAGTGCAAGATCACAAAAGTTTCATTCTCAGCTTCTCGGTATGTTTTGTGGTACGGGTAATGTGCAACGCTACTATTCAAGAGCTCATCAAGGGACGGAAATTGCCAGACTTGTAATTCCGGTATGACGGCTTGCGCTTGTGCTGACTGTGATTGACCACCCCATAGAAGACATTTACATCCAACGGCACGAAAGAGATGCGCATTTGCTTCCGCCGAGTTCCGTGTGGATGGGAGAAATGTCTATATCTGTCACTATGGCATGCCATTTATGATTGGCGGGTTACTAACCTTATAGCCCGCTTTTGCAAGAGCAAGAGCACATATCATGTAGCGGATATCACTTGGCCCCATATACCCAATCGTCGTTGTGTCGCATTTCTCGGCGACTGTGTTCTTGAACCACCACGCAGCATGGTCCACTGATTGGGCTAATTGCCGTTTGGATAGGGATATCCATTGATCTGGGATGTTATTATCTCTTAGGATCTGGCCGAAGGTGCCATCAGGGTCGGCTTCGGCGTTGTTGTCCACAAGGTGAGGAAGTAGGCGACTCCCAACAGCGGTGGCCATCTTGACTGGGTTGGGGAAGCAAGTCTGTTCCGGGTAGTTTCTGAAATATAATACATATATATAACTAGCTAAGAACTTTGTCATGCCTATCGTACTCAGAGTCTAGTTGGTAGCCTGGCATGAAAATTGATAACTCGACATTACCTGACCATAGCCTCGCCATGTTAGGAAATAGGCCCATCACTTCTTGACAGAAGAATCAGGATATTGTCGAATCAGATCGAGTCCAATGTATTGGGTTGCCTGGTTTATTCCGAAACCTTCATTTTCGGTCCCTGTTTAGGTTCGGATATCATACCTGTGCAAGTCTCGGGTAGAGCCAGAACAAGTTGGACTACCACACGAGCCAGGCATGTGGCTTACGAGACTAAAGAATAATTGGTGAGAGGAAAGGTCAATGGTTGGGTTCAATTACTACCTTCCTGGTTGGCCTTCCGTCGAATGATGATTCATAGCGTCATGCGTCGTAGCCAAGGTTCAATCGCGACTGGGGGCAATTATGTCCCTGATTGCGAATGCTTGAATGGCGGATATACAATTCATAAATCACCCAATTCACATTGAGAAAATACCCGAGGTCGTTGGGCATATTCGTAAGGATTTGATGCGACCAGTAGAGCTTTCGTAAGGTGCCGCACTTTCTACAACCCTGATGTTGCGGCTAGCAAGTGTGGAAAGCCTACCACGTTTGTACAAGGCACGTTAACGGCTACCTTATAAGAAGTCCCATCCTATTTCCCCAGCCAATGGTGAAGACAAAGCTGCAATGTCCCTCGTCACGGCAGCATCGGTTGAGGATGAGCCGTCCGAAGAGCCCGAGCTGATTGCCTGCACATCCCAGCCTTCTATGCATTGATAGCAATTGGCCTTTCCCATGATGCGTCCACCTACCTCAATTAGCTCTTCTCTAAGTGAAACCACGCGTGGGTAAAGTGATCGTTGTTCGGTATGTTGCAAAACGGTTGGTGCTTGTAAAGTCACAAGACAGCTGCCAGATCGGTTTTCGTATATAGAGACCACGGAAGAAAAGTCTGTCATAATCCGGGCCAAGGCCATGGCATGATCCCAACCGCTGGAGAAGCTCTGAAGAATCGCTATACAGCTTTGTATCTCTTGCTTGGCTGAAAACACTGTGCTCGCTGCATGACCAAAGCAGTATAGAAGGACAAGGCATGCAGGGACGCATCGGGTTAACGTTATGTAGTTAAGCGGCAGTTGCCCCAGTTCCAGCAATATATGGCTGTAATGAATATACTTCTGAACAACATTCAAGAGGTGCTCATGAGACCCTGGACGTGGTGGTTGATTGAATGGTGTCGGATAATAGATCAGCATCAGTAGTTGATAGTAACGTGCGTTAAGCCAGGCCATGGTGTCATGGATCCTAACATTACTTGGTTCTGGACGAGAAATGAGGCACCCATCGCTGTACCAGTTATCCACTGCGTAATGTAGATCGCTAACAATAGCGGTGCGATCGGAAGGAGACAAGGAGCGCACATCTGCCCGAGGACGTAGAAAGATCGCATCCGTAATATTACTCTCGAGACGACGTAGCTGGATGACATGGCGCGTTACCAGCAACATACTCGAAATCTCTGCTCGCTGCGCCGAGGCAAACTCAGTAACCGTCACGGCTGGCAGTGGGACATGAATGTCCGGCACAAACAGCCCGGGAGACTGTCCGACGGAGGATGCGACCATGCGATCCAGTACATACACGCTCCAAAACAGTCGATGTGACTGCTCGTCTGATGGCAACGCATGGTCTGCGCCCGTTGTGCGCTGTGAAGTCAGACCCTGTGCCATGGCTTGCCGCGTCAGGATTCCAACAACCATCCATGGAGAAGGGCCGTCGGGATCAAAAAGTGAATACAACGCCAGTAATAGAAGAATCTGAACTGAATCCATGCCCTCATTCTCTATGCAATATTGAAGAATGACTGGATACGGTAGTTTAACCTCTTTCCCAGCCAGCGGACTAATCTTTCCTGATCGCTCAAGAGTCGTCCGACCAATAGCGTGGATGAGGTAGAGTATCTGGACAGTCTCGTTAGTTGAGCTTGTCTACTCATCCGCCGTATTCCTTGGGATAATGACATTTTCATGGAATGCAACTCACCATTGAGTCAGCATTATTCTCTATCAACATCGCATTCGCATTCGCACTCTGCACTTGCATAATTCGCGCTTTATCGACGAACGGATATGCCCGATGAACGTGGTGAAAGTAAGCATCAAGACATGCCAGCGGCCGTGGTCTTTGGCTGTCTGTCCCCTCCCAACGCGTCACTGAAGTCCCCTTTTTCTGTTCTGTATTGTCGTGCGCATTGTCAAGGGGCGGGCTTGCCTTCTGAACTTGGCCATTAGATTGAGCACGCACAAGGTTTCCTGGGGAGTTCATTCCCCTTTCACCCTTGTCACCAACTTGTGACCCTTCCTGAGATATTGAAGTCATGTTCCGTTCCCCGGCCGCTCCAGGTATGTTGTCTTCAATGTATTGCGTGAGCCATTGTATTCGCGCATGAAGAACCTCTGGTGACGACGCAGCTATTCGATCTGACGTGAAATACGAGCATTTCCGTCCAGCGTCCGTACACGATCTGCAGGACGGTAGGGTTTTGCTACATTTCTTCTTGTACTGGCGGCAGCGGTTGCAGGCTGGAGGCGGACACGCAGACGGCCACCGAGGCTCCGGCTGCCTCTCAGCCCCATCGCGGTCGGGACTGGTTTGACTTAGTCGATAGCGCTGGGTGTGGTATTTCATTGTTGGGAGATCATCTGCAGGTTTCAGTAATTAACTTTTGCAGATAGCAAATGCAGTCGCTGGGATCGGCTCCATATTCGCGACCGTTCTCAATATTCAATGACTTGCGGGGGTCGAGATTGCAACATTCGCGCAGAGAACCACGTCAACCAGGCTAAAAGTGGGTGGAGCTGCAGACGGACGAGAAATCCAAAGTGCTTTCTAGAGTCCAGACCCTCACTTATCCGTATGCGGTTAGTCGACTCTTCAGCTATACGAAGACCACATAGAGTGGAAGAGGGTAAGAATCAGGCACCATGCATGTTTTGACCCCGCACCCTGGGGAATGTCCCCAATCTCGCAACAAAACCTCTCAGCCGCATCGAATATCCTCCACAACCCTGTCTCCAGCAAGGTCGACGTAGGACTTCCTAACAGGATGCGTCTCAAAACATGGGGAAAGGATTTGAAGTCCCGTTTCAGAACCAAAACGACGTCTTTGCCTTCAGTATCACCTCCAATCGCAATCCGTCAGCATAGTGGAAACCAGGTCCAGGAACCTCCCCACCCTCAAGATTTATGGCAATCTGCGTATGATCAGCTAGGCCGGAAGGAACAACAGGCTTTGTCAACATCTGAACTAATCCCTGCCCAAATACGAAGCAATCAGAACGGACATTCCCCGACAGAGGCTATAATTGAGGGTGTCATTCAGAAGACTAAACAACAATATGAAGAATGCCAAAATGGGGCCTTAAAAATCCGGAGATCCACGGGGGAGGATATCAATCTTCGAGAACTGTCACGCAACATAATTGATGCGGCGTTATCCTTCAAGGATATTATCAGTGCGGTGGTAGCCTACGATCCGACTCAATACGCAGCAAGTGCTTGGGCTGTTGTCTCACTTGGTTTGACTGTAAGCCGTTGAGAGCTCTGGAGTATTAGCCAGCAAACCTAATCAGAAGAGGATCCAAACATATAGATGACTAAAAACCGCTTTGACCTGCGCGATACCTTATTTGACTCTGCAGAGTATCTGGCAAATGTTCTTGCCCGGTGTGCCTATATTGAGAAAGGCATCTACCGCAACGATGCATGGAAAAATGCCGAGATAGCACGCGCTATCATTGGAGTTTATAAAGCCATCCTCCACTATGCGGCAGAGGTGTTAACTGCTCAACAACCCAGCATGGGAAGGTGGATACAGGACACTGTTACCGGAATCACCAAGCAACGCCTCGTCGACCTCCAATCCTCGGTCAAAGAAGAAGAGCATTATCTGCATCAATGGGTTCAGATGGATCAGCACTTGCGCCATAATGAACAAGCGGAGCTTCTTATCAGCCAATGTGACAAGATGATAGAGTCTGTTCAAGGGCTCATCCAGCGTTTCAGCCTACCCATTGCAGAAGGCGCGTTGTATGATTCCTATGACAGTCAGCATGAAGACAAATGTCTTCCAGAGACCCGAACTGAGATTCGTCGCCAGATTACAGATTGGGTTGCGTCGCCCGACGGGAAATGCATATTTTGGCTAAATGGCATGGCAGGGACTGGGAAGTCAACCATTGCCCGCACCGTTGCACAGTCCTTTAAAGAGAAGGGGCTACTGGGCGCAAGCTTCTTCTTTAAGAAGGGCGAAGCAGAACGTGGCAATGCGAAAAGATTAATATCAACGGTCGCAAAACAATTGATCACCAGCACCCGTCAGTTAGTGCCAGGCATCATGGCCGCGATTCAGAGCGATCCACATATTTCCTCGAAATCCCTTAACGAACAGTTCCACAAGCTTCTCCTTGAGCCACTAGTCAATCTAAGGTTAGATGAGCCTACGTCTACAGTGATTGTGATCGACGCTTTAGATGAGTGCGAAGAAGAGGATATAAGACTCCTCTTAGATCTCCTCCCACAGGTAGACCAATCCAAATCTCTACGCGTACGGATCTTCTTGACAAGCAGACCCGAGCTTCCAATCCGGCTTGGTTTTCAGCAAGTTCTAGAACATCAGGACTTGGTGCTTCATGAGCTTCCCACTCCAGTGATTGAACGTGACATAAGGCTATTTCTCCAAGATCGACTAGGTAAAATACAGAGGGAGCATTCATTGCCCCCTGGTTGGCCGGGTGAGGATACTATGGAGATTCTACTATCTCGATCGCTTCCTCTGTTTAGCTTCGCAGCTACTATGTGTCGCTTCATTGGAGAGAAATATCAGATACCCGAGGACCGTCTTGACGCAGTTCTCAAAGATTCGGCATCTACATCTGGCTCGCAGATGGAAAGAATATATCTGCCGATCCTGAACAAACTGCACAGGGAGATGGAGACGACCAACTTTGCACAGGAGATACAGGAAGTACTGGGAGTCATCATTCTGCTGGCAGCCCCCCTTTCCGTTCAGGCTCTCGCAGGGTTCATTAATATCCCTGAAAGAAGAGTTCGCTCTCGTTTAGCCGCTTTTCACTCTGTACTTAGAGTGCCTAGCAACGGTGAAGCCCCAGTCCGCACGCTGCATTTATCCTTCCAGGAATTTCTTCTCAACACAAATAGTATTTTCCATGTCAACGAGAAGGAATCACACAAGAAGATAGCATTATATTGCCTTTCCACTATGAACTCTAGCCTCAAACAGAATATCTGCGGTCTACCAAGCTATGGAACTCAGCGAGCAGATATCGACCGTCACATTATTAACAAGTCCCTTCCAGCAGAGTTGCAATATTCCTGCCGCTACTGGGCGTACCATATCAAGCAGGGCGAAGACCAGGTACATGAAACAGAAGTTCTTCTATTTCTAAAACGACACTTTCTTCACTGGTTGGAGGCCATGAGCTTGATGGGGGTAATGTCGGAGGTGGTCAATATAATAAACACACTACGGCCAACAGCACAAGTAGGTCTACATAATTTGTTACGGGGCATAGCTAATTGAAGAATATAGACCGACCAGCGTTCTGAGCTTTCATTATTCTTGCATGATGCCAAGCTGTTTGTACTGAAAAGTATTTATATCTCCAACGACTTTCCACTCCAGGTATATTGCTCGGGGCTTGCCTTCTGGCCGACGTATAGTATTATTCACAAGGTTTTTCAAGAAAGCCAAAGATGGGTATATATCTTACCACAGCTTGAGAGTTCAACGAGCGCAGACCGACAAAACATGAAGGGCCATTCTGACACGGTTCAACCTGAGTCCTTCCCACTAAATGGTCAGATCACCTCCGCACACAAGGATAATCCTGTTAAACCCTTGGACCATTCCAATTCTATTGTGTCGGTGACATTTTCGCCAGACGGAGAGATGGTTGCATCTGGCTCTAAGGATAATATTATCAAGCTCTGGGATCCCAAAACTGTTGAACAGCTGCACATCTTAGACGGCCATTTTGACTCGGTTGTGTCAGTAGTATTTTCACATGACAGTCAGATACTTGCCTCTGGCTCGTATGACCATACTGTTAAGCTCTGGGATATCAAGAGCTGCCAACAGCTGCGCACTCTCCACGGTCATTCCGACTCAGTTGTGTCTGTCGCCTTCTCACCCGATAGTCAGATCGTTGCCTCAGGCTCCGATGATAGTACCATCAAGCTGTGGGACGCCAGGACTGGTCAGCAGCTACGTACGTTAAAGGGCCACTCCGACTGGGTTCAATCAGTGGCATTCTCACCAGATGGTCAGATAGTGGTCTCTGGTTCCTATGATAATACCATTAAGCTCTGGGAGACCAAGACGGGTCAGCAGCTGCGCACCCTTGAAGGTCATTCTAGCCTAGTTGCCTCGGTTGTCTTCTCGCCAAATGGCTACATGATCGCCTCCGGCTCCTACGATAACACGATCAAACTGTGGGATACCAAAACTGGCCAGCATCTCCGGACCCTAGAGGGCCATTCCGGACTAGTCCGGTCGGTCGCCTTCTTATCAGATAGTCGTATAGTTGTCTCTGGCTCCTATGATAGCACTATTAAACTCTGGGACACTGAAACCGGTGAGGAAATGCGGACCATAGAGGGCCATTCTGGCCCGGTTCGGGCAGTAGCGCTTTCACCGGATAGCCAAATAATTGCCTCTGGTTCTTATGACAATACTATCAAGCTTTGGGAAGCCCAAACCGGTCGGCAGCTGCGCACGCTGGAGGGCAATTCAAGCCCAGTTGTCTTCGCAGAGGATGTTCAGCTGGTCCAGACAAATTCCCTGCTATCTGTGGAGGATGGCTGGGTAACCTTTGCAGATGAGAAGGTGTTGTGGCTCCCTTTCGATCATCAGCAATTTTCCTCTTCCGTCGCCAAAGAAAATACACTTGCCCTGGCGTATCCAGATGGACGAGTGTGTTCCATGGAGTTTCGTGCACCTGCCGTGTAGCCGTTGTCCCCCATCTTGGCTTGTTATCTTTCATACTGTAGGTATCGAGATACGCCAACACTGGCCATCCGTGGACCTTTATAAGTTATTGAGGCCAAGAAAACGCCGGGTGAAGAAAGGATAGGAAGGACTGCTTCATGACGCGTCGGTAAGGTCATCGCGACCAAGGGTCTGTTAAAAGAGGGAAGGAAGGTTGCCTTCATTGCCACTAAGCGAATCGGGGATATTTGTGGCCAGTCGTGGCCAACGTTGTTGTTGTCGCTCAAGGTGCACAAGGCTGAGGTGATCAATGAATCAGTCAATAGAAATTCTACTTACCTGATGAACCATTGCTTTCCCCCTCTGTTCTAGTAGTAGTCGGCTCCCGGCCCTGGTTCGGCGCTGCGTCGCGTATCTGGCCCAGTAGATCTGTTCGTAGCCAAACCTGGCAATGTAGTATATCGCGTGCGGCTGTGAGGCAACTAAGTTCCAATTAGCTCTCTTTCCTTGTAGTCCCATGATTCGTGCGATGCGACCGAGTAAGAACCTTGCTCAGATCTGTGTACAGTGGATAGCGCAGGAAGACATCTTTCAAGATCTAGGATCCTTTATAACAGTGACACCAATCTTATTCAGCTACCAAATCTTATCTTATCCTCCCCCTGGTTCGCGTGCTTGGCATGGGCTGTCAGGGTGGATCGGGCCGTCCCGAAACCACAGATGTGGGTCAGTAACAACCTCCTTCGAGGAAGGCCGAGGCATGGAACCATGAGAGTGGCGCGGTTAGTGAGCGAGTCATCATTGAGGACTATGGGCTTAACTCGTTGGCACTAGAGACGTGGTGGGAGATCCTATATCCCAATTTCGTTCGAACGGTAGGCGCCGAGAATGTGCGTATTGTGAAGCTAATAGACTTTCAAGAAGGTCGGAAAGTTCTCGAAAACGTCAAAACTGAAGGGTGCATGTCTGTGGCTATGTGTCCGCTAAGTGGAGAAATAGGATTTCACTATGTAACCGCATGGCATGGGATGAGTCCTGTTAGCAAATATGAGTAACGTAGTAGCTCAGTATGCCTCGAGGCGTACCTATTTCCAATTGTGAACGAGTATCTTGCTGGACATGAATCCAGGGTCAGTGCACTGAGGTTGGGAGTAAGCGTTGTGAGGGCTGCTTGAGACAAGATGTGAAGCTTCCAGGCCATCAGGGCTTGTTCAGCGTACCTGCAAGGGTGGACAGAACTGCCAGATCGCTTCAACCACGACCAAGAAGCCTGTGTGCTTGAAGTCGACATAGGCGAAACTATTGCGCATACATCCTGAACCAGCATGTGCGCCTGAGGGGGATGAGACAGACATTCCATTGTCGATGCATTGGGAGAGGGTGAAAATACCAATACAAACCACCTCTGTATGGTGTCAGTATAGGAAATGAAAGGGAAGGAGCGCAGCGACGGGCCGCAAGGTAGCAGTTGCCCTACGTGCGCCTTTAATAGCTACACATCTACGAATCACAGCAATCGAAGCACGTACCACCAGAAGCCCTAACTGTAGATATGAATATAATGAGGTGCAATGTAATAGCCTCAGGAATGCAGGCATAGAGTTGGCGGGGCACTCATGGTTGAGCATTTGGTACCGAAGGCACTGCCACTGGTGATGCTATAATGACACTTTTTGCCACCGGCGTAGGTTCTCCCAAGTCCACTTCAGCTTCGAATTCCTCCCTTTCCAAACAATCACACCATCAAGCACCCCAACGGAAAGCAAGCCCAAAAAAGCTAACAACAAGTGTTCCTGAATCAAAGCTTTCCAAGAATTCCTTTAACAATCAATTATTTCCTCTAAAGTATCCCAATCAGCAATACGATGGTGTATTTTACCATGATTAAAATTCTCCTTCTCCTGGCCTTCATTTTTCAGGGCAGCGAGGCTCTTCCTATAGGAGTAGCTAAGCCTGCACCTTCTACAACTATCATAGGGGCTGCCCTAGGCATAGGGCTAGTCGTCTTGGTTCCCACTCTAGTCTGGGTGGGGATGATCACCCGTCGACACATTCGACGGTGGAGATTCAACCGGAAAAGGGCAGCATGGCGCCACCAAATGGCGCAGGATATACGTGCTATGAGGGCAGCAGAAGAGGCAAGCATAGTCAAAATCCCGAGGTTCGCAGTTGGCCAAACCGTGACACAACCAGAACGCTGGTAAGATGACCCTACGAATACGGGAGGAAGAACAAGCCTTCTAACATAGGTTTATAGTGTCGTCAGAGACAGCCCGCCTCCTGCAAGCCCGGCAACCAGCCTACACACCATTCCGGAAGACGATGGCTGCTAGGCTGCGTTTGCCCGACTTTTGCTTTGTGTTGGGGAGAGGGTGGAAGACCCAGTCGGGCATTGCACGGTGGGCGGGTTGGGGTCCCCTATTGTGGGACAGTGCAATACCCGGCTGGGGGGAGGGAGGAGGGAGTCTCTCTAGGGGAGCTCTCGAGGGGCAGTGGGGAGTGGTGGTAGACCCAGCCAGGTGTTGTACGGTGGGCGGGTTGGGGTCCCCTTTTGTGGGACAGTACAACACCTGGCTGGGGAGAAGAGGGAGTCTGCTAGGAAGGTTTCCAGGGGGAGAGGGTAGGGTGGAGGGACCAGCCGGGCATTGTACGGTGGGCGGGTTGGGGTCCCCTACTGTGGGACAGTACAATGCCCGGCTTGGGGGACGGCGGAAGAGAGGACTCTCGGGGCAGGCGAGGACGGAGGTTGGAGGAGAATGATGGGGGGAGATGACATCTTGATTTGTGTGTTTTCTAACGTTTTTTGCGCAATTGTGTTGCTTTTTGTTCTTTCTTGTTGATTTCTTTCCTTGTTTGTTTCTCTTCTTGTTTCTTCTTTTTCTTCTTTCTTCTGTTCAAGACTTGATAGACAGGCAGCCAGACAGATAGACGGATAGACGGATAGATAGATAGATAGATAGATACTCAAGACTCCGCAAAGCGGAGTCTTTATTACTATTAGACAATAGACCTTTTTGAGATTACTATTCCTTTCTTTGTAGTGCTTTTATTTAAGAGCCGAACTCTTCAATGAATGTCAAATGTACGGGGGCGACTCCACCACACTGTGCTTAGATTAGATATGGCCAGAGCTAGTAGGCATCTTTGTCGTTTACAAGAGAAGATTTCACCATGTTTCTGAGACCTTGGTAGGGCACAGGAAGACCATCAACTCCATGTTGATTGTAGTAGCTGAAGTTGCCGGTGGCAGTTCACAATTCTTCATTTGTAGCGATATTTGGCTCAGAGTTAGCTTTGGGTCGGGTTCAAATTCAAGATCTAGGAGCCCACCTCACCCACGCCGATTTTAGGATATCTAACCCGGTAAAGCCGCTAATAAAGTCCAAACAAAGTAATCTAAGTTTGTTAGATTGAGAGTATAGTGGCACGGTGAGCCAGCCTTCAGGGGCGACTAATGTTAGGCTTGAAGGAGGAAGTGGCCCAAGCGGGGCTAGGAGCGAGCTGTAGAAAGACCGCTCTTGTAACTAGCCCAAGTCAGTATAGACTGGCGACGGAGGAGTATATGACACTTGCTCGCGCCACAACAGGACATACTACTATGCTCATCTTCACCTGTACGTAGCCACCCCTCTGGGTGGCCATCTGGGCGCGCATAGCCAGCGCCATTACCCGCTCCAATCTTCATCTTCGGATAATATAACAAATAAGCCCCCACCCAAAATAAAGAGGGAGGCTGGCAGAAGCAGCCCAATACTAGGGTCCGCCCCTAGGACCGTGGAGCATGATATGGCGTTCACACCGATCGGAAGGGCCTTGCAGCCCTGATATTTGACTATAGGAAATATATGATTGTGTAGTTGATAATTATTTTGCCTCTTTAGAGTATTTAGTGCAAGGTGTTCGTAGAAGTGTTCAGTGGCCATTTGTACTCAGATGTCCTTGAGCAACATAAAAAAAACGAAAGTCAAAGGCGGAACGCCAACAGAAAACCGTCCCAAAAACACCGAGAACGTCAGAAAGCGAACAAATAAACCTGTTATCTTTTCCTATCTGTCTCCCCCACCACCCACCCTCTCCTACTATGAGAATCAATGCCAATATGGTGTCGCCATTGAGCTCTGGCCAGCCTAAACCTCCCCCGTTGTATATAGCAACGAAGGACAAGGCCTTACCAATGAAGTAATATAATTAACAGACCAGCCCAATTCTAAGACTAACCCTAAGGCTGTTGAATATAGTATAGTCTTAGATATATCAATTGGAAGGGCCTGGCAGCTCCTCACGAGGACTGCCAGCATGACGAGGATTAGAGTCACCATGTTAAAGGTTATTATCCCTTAGTATATCGATTGAAAGAAAAGGATTTTGTTGGTTCAAGTATCTTTTTTGAAGTCTCTGGTAAAGGAGAAGTAGCACTCAATGGTTCAGAGTGCTTTCAGTGGGTGTGCTTGGTAGTGTAAGTCTTCATTAAGAGAAGAATTCGAATCCGAAGTGGACTTGGGAAAACCCTTTTCTCGCTGGGTATCGCTAGGAGTGGTCTCTGATGGTACCATTGTACCCTGGCTTGCTAAAATCTCAATTGTCCAGTATGAGATAAAGGGCAAGTCCTTCCAAACAAGAAATACAATTCTTAGGACGAGCCCAATCCCAAAGGTAGCCCCAGTAATTGTAGAAGGGGATGTCGTCCTAGGTACATTTATCGGCAGGCTCTGGCAGCCCTGAAGTAGGGCCGCCAAGAAGAGAGCAATATTGGTTGTAATGACGTCAGTTATTTTCAATACTCGGAGGAATATCTTTACTGGTAAAAGTGTTTGCTGGTTGTTTGTGCTCGGATATCGATCGCCGTTTGATGGCGTCATTGGGCCCCGTTGGCGCTTAAAGCTCCATCGCTGAATATGGCGACGGACGATGATTCCTGGCCACAAAAGACACGGTATTAGAAGAACCAGACCGAGTCCCAGGCTGGCCCCGATGATTTCCGAAGATGGTGTGACATTAGCGATACCGATTGGGAGGGCCTGACAGCCCTGCAAGAGGACTGCCAGGTATAGTACGATGGTAGTGATGGCTTGGTTTGTCATTTCGTTGTTTCAACGCTGTAAAGAAAACGTTCGGTGGGTTAAGATCTCGTTCCAAGGTGTGTGATTATCAATGTTGGCGGTGCTTGCCTTTTCTTTGGCTCGAGGTAAGAGTGCTGTGTAGTGTGATTGTTGGTAAAGGGAAGGAGCTTAGCATCGATAGGAGTGGTCTCTGATGGTACTACTGTACCCTGGACTGCTGAAATCTCTATTATCTGATATAATAATAGAGGGTATGCCCTTCCCAATGAACAAATACGATCCCCAGGACCGACCCCGAGGACCGTAGAGGGTAACATAGTCTTGGCCATTAGTGGAGCTATTGGGCTCGTGCCCGTTTGAACCTCCATCGTCTTATTTTTCGACGGGGTGAAATTACTGCCCACACAAGGCACGGTATGAGCGGGACTAGACCGATTCCTATGCTGGCCCCGATAACTTGTGAAGATGATGTGACGTTGGCCACACGGATTGGGAGGGCCTGGCAACCCTGAAAAAGGACCGCCAGGATACGGAGAATTCTGATCATTGTAAATACATCATTGTATTGCTTGTTTGGCCACTTCAGAGAAGATCGTTGATTGTTAAAGTCTTTTGATGAAGGAAAACTTGTAGGTAGCTTTTCCAACTTGCTTTTCGTTTGGGTGCTTGGTGGTGTGATTGTTGAGAAAAAGAAGAATTCGAAGCTGAAGCGGACTGCGAGGAAAGAGGATAACAATGCCGCTACTTCACGGGGAAGGTGCGACAAAATAGATGCCATACTATCGCGAGGGGAAACAGCCATCCCGAGGAAGATGCCACACCTGCGGAGAGCCAGGCGACTGAATGGATTACAACGCATTGACTACCTATAGTTATGTATAAATATTTTTATGTTTCCTGGTATACTTCGCGCGGTATCGACGAGCGTAGTCATCCTGCCCCGACCTGTAAGCCTACGCGGCAGCTCATGAGATACTAGGTCCTCAACTTGGATTCATCAGACTATTCATTCTGTTGGTTATTGAAACGACACATTAATACACATTGTGGAAATATCGCCTCCAAGGAGCAAAAGAATATACAATTTCAAAGAAACGACTATTTCTTCTTGCCAGTGATACCGAGAGCGTCAGTGATAGAACTTAAGCCCAAACTGTCAAGCAGCTTGTCAAGACCCAAGCCACCGAGCAAGCGATGTACAAGAGGCCCCAGACCGAGACCCTCAAGCAGGCGGCCCACAAGCCCAAGCACCCCGGTCAGAAGTAGACCTACGGCGGCGATGATCTGGAACAAAGGCTCGCTGAGAAGGGCCCAGAGGGGGTTCAGCTGTCGCTTCGCATGAGGCATATCGGCGATCTTCTTCTTTCCATTCTCAATGCAAGTAACGACGGTATCTGTCATTTCTTTGATCTGGTCGGCAAGAGCATACTCTTCGGGAGACGCTTCGTGTGAGGCAGCGCGAGCCTTCGCTGTCGCTGCAATACGACCATCTGGATCAAGAGCCCGAATGGCGCCATTGCATTCTTGGAGGATTCGACCACCCTCTTCAAGAAGCGGCTTCACCTCTTTTACCAACTTTTCTTCATCCAGTTCTTCTTTCGGGGTACGCTCAGCTCTCTCGATGTGCTAGTGCATGTGTTAGCAACTCACTTCTGCAGCAGCTCCATCATCAAGGGGCATACCTCTGTAATCATTTTGCAGATTGGCCGAACACGATCCAAAGTCTGTCCAATAATGGCACTCATCTTCTTCGCCAGCTGTCTATCTTCTTCAGCCTTCTTTTGCTCCTCGAGCTCTTCTGGTGATGGACCTGGCTCCTCCTCGACAACCTCTTCTTCTTCCTCCTCCTCGGCGGGCAAGTTCTCGAGCAGAGTACACTCGCCAAGCTTGTTGCCATCATTGTCCACGACGAACCCATTATCATCGATCTCCTTGCCCACGAGGGTGGCCAAATTACCCGAGGTCAGCTTTCCGATCAGATTACCGTCGATGTCTCGGACTTCACCCTCACGGGTAACCTTGCGACCTGCCATAGGGTTGACGCTTCGTTGCTTCTCCTCCGGCTCCCAGCGCTCTGCTCGTCCGATGGTGTTTCCATTCTTGTCCAAGATATCCCCGTCTTCGTCGACCTTGCGTCCCTGGAGTCGCTTGGCGTCACCTTCAATGACACGGCCAATAATCTTACCTCCAGAAGTGACTACGCCGTCCTTGCCAACTTCTGCGTCGTCAAAGCCAAAGAAAGCGCCTTCCGGCTTCTCTTGCTCAGCGCCAGG